CTGAAGTCAGAATGACTAGTCTACGAAAGTCAGTAGATATATATATATATATATATATATATATATATATATATATATATATGTTTTAGGCTCCGAATGATAATTGCGTTTTTCACTGCAGGAGAAGTGCGGTGCAGTTCAAATAGTAACAAAAATACATAGATATATATGTATATGCAGATATTTTGACATTGTTATAGCACTGTTGCGGTACGGTTTTGTAGTACGGTATAGTTACCATTCAAAATCTTAGTATATAATTTGAAACTTCAAACTTCAGTCATGTGGCAGTAGGGGATACAAATAGTTGAAAGAAATAGGTATAATATTATATTTTATCAATAATTTGCACTGTATAAAGAAAGATTAACAATATTGTTTGTAAATGATGTCTACAGAACTTTTTCATGATGACACAAATAGTAATTTAGTATATAGTTTGAGGAAAAGGGTATAAGAATAGTATCTTTTGAGAAAAAAGAAAAAAAAAAAGATGAATAGAACCGTCGTTTTCGATCGTAATGATTCTTTATACTACTCTATGTGGAGGGAGCTCGGTCAACCAGAGAATCTGAAAGATTGATCTTAAGACTTTGTCAACAGGTCCATGCAGGGACCATAAGGACCGCAACATATGATGAATTTGCCAAGTATTGAATCATAGAGCAACTTTACGAAATAGTAAAACAAATAAGTTTATTTCGATAAATGATAATCTGTTAAGTGGTCCTTCGTAATCATAGAGCAACTTATACGACACAAGAACATGCCGATACAAATATGAAGTAAAACTTTGGTGCAGGGTACTTCACTTCATAATTTTGAATCATTGTCTTATTTACTTTCTCTTAACCAGTACAAATGATGGAACACATGTCCTACCACTCTGTGACTCTTTTAACTCTACTGACTTCGGTGTTCTGCGTTTTTCCACGAAATCTATGTCCAAATCCCCAAATTGATATATCAGTACGATACCACGAGATCACTGTGGAATATATGTAATTTATACTACTGTATTATGTAAAAAGATAGAAAAAGAAACAACAACTGTCTGAAAAGAATGTAGTCCGTCCAGTGTCTCTCTGGTTTTTTCACTCGTTCTCCATTATTAATTTATAACGTTTAAGAAAAGACTCACAAACAAGATGAATACATGTTACAAGGGGATTTTATCGCTTATGCAGATTCTGTTTTTAAAGTAATGTAACAAATCGACACTGAGGTACCTTTCACAATGCGCACTATGCACAAGAAAAGACTCGTCAAAAGCAAAGCAAAAGGTGGGGGGGATGGCTCTTACGGGTCAACAGCTTAAGAATCTTGAGGAGTCTCGAATCTTGTCGGTGTATCGATACCCGCCATACAGCAAAGTCCACTGATCAAAATGAGCAGAAAAACGATTCCCTGCAAAAAGAAAAAGAAAACGACGAGACACAAAATCAGAGGAAATAAAAAACACACTGAATGATATTAGCTTTGACCTAGATATGATCAAGTTGCTTTATTAAATAAACTTGTCAATTTCATAAATCTTGGTTGAGAACGATGAGAACCCAAGTCAGAAGCGTAACAGAGAGTAAAATGAGTAACTTCTTACCACTAGTATGCCCTCCAGAAGTGATGACTTAAATTTGCAGAGTTCATCACAGCCAGTAGTAACTTCAGAAGTGCTGTTTCCTTTAGCAGTTTCAGCTAGAAACCTTTGGAGAGTTTTGTATGATGTGTACCAATAAGGATCAGAAACATAAAGAGCTGTATATTTACTGCCAGACTCTTCTACAGAATTCACAAGTTCGGAGATGCTTTCATCTGCAGAATAGTTCAAACTATTGCTTCAGGTCTTTCTTCTCATATTATTAATCTGTTAGTATTCTTTTGCAATAACTATCTTTCCACTTACGCTCTGAATGAGATTGGCCAGCTTGACTTTTTGATTCAGAACCCTCGGAACAGACCACAACTAAGTCCGTTTCTCCATCTTTCCTTGTTTCCCTTCTAGTCAGCAAATGATCCTGTCAATTATTCATGAGTAATCAGGGAGTGAAAGAAAGGGGTTATATCCTTGAGTAGGCATGGGATTAGGAAAAACAAAAACATAAGAGCAATTAGTATTACTTTGAAAGACTGCAGGCCTGATAGCTTCTGAATAGTTCCATCCTCAACAAAGCACGAATCTGAGAACACGATATTGCTGACTCCTACATTGTTGGAGCAAGCTTCTTTAAGCCCTGAAAGCAACAAATTCTCCATCCTTTCTTCCTCTGGCGCAGAAATATATGGGAATGCCAGTGAGAAGTTGGAAGCTGTAAATAGATTCTGTTGAAAAAAAGACTTGGATGTTAGAGTATTGTGGAGGTTTAAGCAAAACAACTAGGTCAGAGATCTGTCTCATAGAAGCATTATCAGAATCCCGTAATGAAGAGATGAAAACTTGTACTTACATTCAATGTATTAACAAGGGTAGGGTCCGAGTTCCTTGTTGAAGAAACATCAGTAGACAGTAACTGCAGGCAAAAAGAAAGTGAATTTTAGAATTCTCAGCATCACACGGAAGATACAGAGCAGAGACATTTAATTGCAAGAGTTAAGACACAAGTTTCCTCATAATATAACACAACAAGAAACCAAAGATCCAAATGATTAATCATGCTAATGTTTACAATGAGCTCCTACAACAAGAAATTAAAGATTCAGATGGAGATGGTCATTCATGCTAATGTTAAAACGAGCTCCTACATCGTTCACTCACACAGAATTGACATAATATATCTTTCACAGATAAAAAAAGAAAAGAAAATGTACTTACCTCTCTGCCTATGAACATAAGTGCAACATCAACAGGTTGCTCAAGTTTCTTCTTCTCTGAGCACTATGACAAAATAACAGTAAACATGAGAATAAGAAAACAAAATGACATCCAGTGAGTTGTATAAATTGAAAAATCATTTGCTCATTAAAAGAAGCCATACCAGAAAATTTGACCAGCCTCCTTGAGTGAAAACAGAACCCACTAGATCTTTTGCAGATATGACTTGATAATTTACAGCCTCATTGGTAGACCTGATTTTGAGAATCAAATACTCCAATTAAACAAGTAATCTAATGCCACAAATCGCCACAGCTCGAAACAGACATCAGATATCACAACTTCAGCTACCAAATTTGACAAGGATAGAGAAAAGAGATGCATAACTGGAGATGCGGAGACCAGAGGAAAGCAGGAACGGTGTTCGGAGAAGCCATTCCAAATTCAAAGAGAGACGCCATAGAGATTGCAACCAAAAACGCCATTACACCGATTTGAATCTTCATCATCTTCGTCGTCGATCAATCCTACCGGAGAAACAAAATAAATCAATCGAACAATTCCTCACGGGGCACGAAACAATCAGCAAATCCAAAGATAATCACAAACAAACCTGAAGAATCGAGATCGTTTCCAGAATTTGACGGATCAGTAGATTTTTTTCTTTTTTGTTTTTGTTTTTGTCAAGTTTCAAATCCAATGAAACGACAGATTCATATATCTCCGATCCTCAAATCTGAGCGACACATATGATGAGTAGTAGAGGTCGACGACATGTAAGGTCTTAACGACGTCGTTTACAAAAATATAAAAATCAAATACCGAAGTAACCGGTTTTGGTAATAACCGGTATGTCGTATTGGGCTTAAGGCTTTTACAGATATCCAATACGGCCCAGTTTCTCCAATCCGTTTAGCGCGTCGTCACAACTCACACTAATTAACTTCGAGATACCACTGAACAGAATATTTCCTTTCCTTCTTTTTTTTTCTTATTCCTGCAACGCGATCCCGCCAAAGAAAACTTTTTACTCTCTTCCTCGAAAATTCTCAAATCATCGTTGCTTCTCTCTTGCGTCATCTGTGATTCGTTCGACGGGATATTGGAATTGAACATCAGAATCTTCGACCCGTTTTTGTATAATGAAGAGACATCGGAGTAACAAGTGACGAGAGCTGCAGCGAGGTTGAGATTTTACGATGATTTGTGTTTCGTTACGAAATCGAATACGTAATTGGCTTCGCGACTATGTTAGGCTCCAATCCGTCGTTGTGATTCTTATCTACGCTCAGGTAAATCCGCAATTGCTTTGCAATGGTTTCATTCCCTTTGATTTCGCGTTTTTTTCTTCTTCTTCTCGTGAATGATTCGTATCTGTTTTGGGGGCTAGGGTTCTTCGATTCCTTTGTCCATTTTTTTTTCTTTTATTTGTGGTTAGAAGTGAAAGAAGCTGATATTGGTGAATCATTTGTAATGATGGTTTCAGATTGGGTGCGCGCTGATCGGTTCATTAGGGGCATTGTACAATGGAGTCTTGCTGATAAATTTGGCGATTGCGTTATTTGGGTTAGTGGCAATCGAGAGTAATAGCCAGAGTCTTGTCAGAACCTATGCGTTTCTTCTTTTCTGCGGCATTCTTCTTGATGTCTCATGGTTCATACTCTTCTTCAAGGAGATTTGGTATGATGACACTATCCTTGAAACACCCTTGCTTGTGATCATGATCCAAATATTTTTTCTGTGGATTTTCTTAATTTGCATGTTATCTGTCCTGAACTTTTCTTGATAGGCTCATTATCTTTTTTGGAAATGATTGATCATTAAACCATTGTTATGTCCTGTTCAGATTCTGTAGAGTAGAGCCATCTTATCATCTGCTGCTTATTATTGACAAAAGATTTGATTTTCATTGTAGGAATCTTTCTTCTGAGATGTATCAAGCCTTCTACATCTTCTCTGTGAAACTCACCATGGCTATGGAAGTTGCTGGGTTTGTTGTGAGGTTATCGTCCTCTCTGTTATGGTTTCAGATTTATAGACTGGGAGCTTCTATCATAGACACTTCATTTCCTCGTCAATCAGATTCAGATTTACGAAATAGCTTCTTAGAACCTCCTCTTTTAGCTAGGCAACGTTCACGTGATCCAGAATTACGAAATAGCTTCTTAGAGCCTCATGTTATAGCTAAGCCACGTTCACGTTCTGATGAAATCTTGGGAGATTCTGTTGACGAACCAGCCTCCTACACTCCACTGTCTGATGGCGGCCAAAGCAATATCACTACGCCCAATGTAACACAGGTCTTTCTATTTCTTATTATTGCTCTCTTAAGTAGTTTATGTACTCATTGTAGATGAGGTATTGCACTTGTTTTTCTATGTCTTCAGAATTGCGTTTGCAGTGGGTTTCTAGATGCTTGGTTACCCTGCCAAGATTATTAGTGACTTAGTGGATGTGAATACCCTTCACAAATAGTTTTTTGTTGGCTCTTCTTTTGAAACTGCATCTGATGCAATATAGTGAGAATTGGTTGAAATATCTAGAAACGAACGATACCTTTTAGCTCTTTGCTACTCTAGTCAAAAATAAACAAGAGCCTTTATACTAGCTTCTATTGTCTCAGCACTCTTCTTAAAAATTACACAGCCATAGCAAGTAGGTTTTCATCGTTTTGTATCCTTTTTGTAGGTGGTTAAATATCATTCAGCTGGAGACATTTACAAAGGAACCCCATCATCTGCTGCAGAAGCCTCTCGAAATAAGTCTCCTCTGTCCAGATCCTTGGAGGCACTTGATTCCAGTCTCCGCTGATTCAACATCTCTATTGACTGTGGCCGGTATTGTACTAAGCCTTTTTTTTCTGGTGGATTTTATTTGCTCACATTTATATAGACATAGAACGAAGCTTCTTACTAGTGGATCCTTGTACTCAGTAACTTACATGTGTTGGTAAATTGGCAATCCTGTTCTGCAGCATTGCTCTTCTTAGCTTCTTAGATTTGACTGGTAGTTTCAAATTGGCAGGAAGCTAGCTATCTGGCTAGAGGAACTTCACTCAACGATCTAAAGCTGTACTTTGTTATCGATTTGAAGAACCCAGATGTGAGTTTTGCATAGAGGGTGACAATTAAGAACCATTTGCCTTGAATCATGATTCGTTTTACTCGAAACTGTATAGATCTGGTGTGGGATATATGGATTAGGAATGTACATATCAGCATTCTTTTCTGTACATGAAAAATGCATTCTTTTGAGATGAATGAATTGGTGGATTAGTATAAAAGATATTATTTGTTGTCTTCCAAACATTTGGTATTCATTAAATTTTTTGAAGTTTATGCATGGACAGAAAAGTTGAGCAAAAAAAGGATTTATAGTTTTCTAGATTTTCAAGTAGCAGCATAAAGATGCATGATTAGCCAATGGTGACATACGATTGTAAAATCCTCAAGGAACAAGTATAGGTATTATGCAACGTCGACATATCAAAAGGTCTATCGTTTTATCAGGACTAGTTTTCGTGCCAATATTTCCTTCATGTGATGCATATATAGGTGCGTGGGGGGATTGGGGACTGGCGTTGAATGACCAGTCCATGTGGATTAGTAATTAAACTAGTAATCGGGCCCAGTAAAGTAAAATAAAAAAAATGATATCAGTCTAAATTAAATCATTTGACCTAAAAAAAATCGAGAACTTATCCACGTCTGACTAATTAGCTTTTGCTTGCTGGCTGGATTAGAGAGAGAGAGAGATTAGATTAAAATAGTTTTGAAAAGAAGGGGTCAAAATTAAAGACTCAAAAAAAAAAAAAAGAGAGTCTGCGTGGATCTCCAGCCGTATTCAGACACTTCACCCACAAAAATCTCCGCTCGACGACGATGATCCCTTTCTGCTGAAACTATTTTGGTTCTTGGGTCGCTCTCGAATTTTTCTTAGTCTTCGTCTCTTTTGGATTCTCGTACTAGTCTTTGTTTTTGATTCCGAAGAGGTAACTTTGTCAAATAATCCCCTATTCCGATTCTTATGTTTTTTTTTTTGATTTCTGGCTTGTGTTGTTCCAATTTTCCTCGTTTGGAATCCCTAATCTTTATAAACACCATCCGTGATTGAGTATAATGAGTTGAAACGATTTTAGATTGATTTCAGTTTTTTTAGTTTCTTTGTGTTGTTGATTGCAATTTTTTTTTGACTGGTTTGATCAAGTCTCTTTCTGATTCTAGGGTTCAGTATCGTTTCTGCATTTTCATTTGGTTAAAAGCAGAGAGAGAGAGAGAGAGAGAGAGAGAGAGAGAGAGAGTGATGGAAGATGCAGCAGAGACAACGTATTGGTGTCACATGTGTGCTCGATCGGTGAATCCAGTGATCGAAGGCGAGATCATCACATGCAACTTCTGTCAAAGTGGATTTGTTGAACAAGTGGATGATAACAATGCTCAAGATCCCGCTACCACTGATCAACTCCCTGCCGATTCTCTCTGGGCTCCTATCTTGATGGGGATGATGACCAACAATAATGACCACATTTCAACTGATCAGGGAGACTCAGAAACTATTGCTCAGGACGAATATGAAGACATAGACGAAGAAGACGACGATGACGATGATGATGATGATGATGATGATGCTTTTGATGTTGCTGGGGGCAATGATGGAGAAGTTGATATAAATGTGCATCTTGAAGCGATTAGAAGGATAAGGACTAGGCACTCTGCTGCCATCGCTAATATCCTTCAGGGGATTCGAGCTGGGTTGTTGACTGAATCCCAGAACCATGAGGATAACAGCGAGCTCGTTATCTTGATCAACTCCTTCAACCAAAGGATCAGTGTTCAACAAGATTCCATCGACACCACTTCTCTCCCTTCTGGATCTTTGGGTGACTATTTCATTGGACCTGGATTCGAGACCTTGATTCAGCGTTTGGCTGAGAATGATCTGAACAACCGCTATGGGACACCTCCGGCTACAAAAGAGGCAGTTGAGGCGCTGGGGATTGTGAAAATCGAAGATCGTTTGCTGCAATGTACTGTGTGTTTGGATGATTTTGAGATTGGTATGGAGGCGAAAGAGATGCCTTGTAAGCATAAGTTTCATAGCGACTGCTTGCTGCCATGGCTTGAACTTCATAGCTCATGCCCTGTGTGCAGATATCTGCTTCCTACAGCTGATGACGTCGGTAAGCCAAAGACCGTTGCAGAAACTTTGAGAAACGATGGTAACAATGGCGGTATCAGTATCGGTTCTGTGGTAAGCGATGGATCATCATCACCAGACTCAAGTTCGAACAATCCATCAGCTAACTAAACTAAGGCTCACAATTTGGGTCATCAGGTTACTTGAACAGTCGTTAGTGTTTCATGTTATTTTGCTCTGCACATAGTTTCTCAGAGTTGGTGAATAATGGATTCTTTTGAATTTAATTACAAGTCCTTTTTTAATTGACTTCAACATTTCTCTTGCTGATTGTTTCAAATTTGTTCCTATTTAGACCAGTAGAAAAAACCATTAAGAATCACAACTATTTATAACCAGTATTAAGAAATGGGTGAACTTAATGCAGTCGTCCCAATTCTCTGTCTCTATTGGTATATTTGAGCAGAAGACTTGATCTTGTCTTATGTGTATTATATAATTACATATCTCTCTATTACGATTGTTTCAAATCTCTTCACGCGGTAATCTGGAAACCTAAGCATAATTCCTTGAAAAATGAATAAAAAATAGAAGGAAAATGTCTACGTATAATTCGAAAGCTCTATTAGCATAAATATAAAGAACCATAGTCGTATGTCTGATCTGATATAAATACTCATATCTACTGCATAATTAGTCTGCAGAACCATTACAGTAATATTCAGAACAGAAGTAGAAGAAATGAAAGGAAAGCTGTGGTTGATCAGCTGCCTTTTGGTTCTCGCTTTGGTGATTTCATCCAAGGCGGTCTCAGCTCAACCAGACAAGTTTCGCAAACTTAGTGAGTGATTCTTTTGGGTGTTGTTATGGACTCATCATCACATACCCACTTGTAACTAGAATTGATCTAATAAGTAGGTACGTAACATCTTATTGAGTTGTAGCTATATCACATAGTAATTTGCAGAATGATGCGGTGGTTCTGAACTGGCAGAGTGATTCCACATTTCGAACTGTTTTTATTTTATTTAACACAACTTTACGGAAGTGCGTTTTATGTATTCTCCCACTTCTTTTTCTTGGATTGTTCATATCATCATCTTTTGTTGACCGAGGAACAAAAAAACTTGATTTCTTGATTTTATACAATTGTCTCATTTCCGTATTCAGCTAATTCCTGTTTCATATAATAAGAAGCCAGTTTTACATACATATATATGCTAAAAATCTATTTGTTGCTTCTTAAATTGTCTAGAAGAAGATTTAAGAGAGTCAGTGAAGATCGGAACACCTCATAGTGAGTCACCACCAGGACATGGATGTAGCAACAAGTCACAGTGGAATGGTGGATCTTGTAAAAAGCCACCGCGAGGGCCATGATAGGCAATTATTAGGATGATGAAAAATGTACAAACATCAAGATTTCTCGTCAATTAAACCAAACTAAATCGAGTGGTAGTATATATCATTTGTCTAGTTTGATATAAAATAGTGAGAAGTATTGCACTCAATGGCAACAGAAATTATTATATTAAGAAACATATGATGAGTTTTTTTTTCATGGTAAACAAAATGAGATATAACATTATATAAAGGCTTTTTATACTTCCATCATATAAGAGTTTGATAAATAGTAAAACCTCCATAAATTAATACTCTATAAATTAATAAACACTATAAATTAATAATTTTTGCTGGTCCCAAGTCGGGCCGGTGTAAAAATGATTCAAATTCGATAAGATAATAAGATAATAAGGGGGGTGTATTCAAAGTAGCATTTTAAGAGATTTGAGTTTTAATGAGATTTTGATGATTTTATGTAACTTCATATGATTTATGTAAAATTCTTTCAAATCCCACCTAAAACTATGAGATTTGGATTATTATATTTTTAACTAAGGAAGTTCTCTGAAATCCACTAAAATCCTCTGAAATCATTTAAAATCAAATCCACAAACTGTTTTCAATAACAGTGGATTTTAAGGTGGATTTTAAAATGATTAGTTCAATAACACTGGATTTCATGAGACTTTTTAAAATTCATGATTGAATAACACTGGATTTGTAAACCTTTTACAAATCACTTGAAATTCCACTTTGAATACACCCCCCTAAGTTTTTTTGAAATCCCTATGTAAATATAGTCCCAACAATATCATAAATTAATAATCACTATATATATACTCTAAATATATACATTATATGATATAAGTAGTTATGTTAAAATATGCTTTTAGTTTTTTCTAAAAATGAATTTTTTCTCCTCAAACTCATCTCTATAAAAAATTATTTATGTTATATTTTTAAACTATAATATTACAATATACTCCATAACATCATAAAATAACCAAATTTTTTTATGTTTTCTATTTATAAATATGCATCATATTCATCTTTTGTTTGTTTTATAGGCTGTTAGAAGATAACAGTTGAGGTATTAATCATAAATTTGAATTTATGTATATATTTTGTATATAAGTGAATTTATTAATAATATTTTTAATTAATTTTTAAATTGTTTCTCTAAACATACAATTCAATTCCAAACTATACAATTTTTGTATAATCTTAAAGATTAATCTTATTTTGTAAAATTGTCTAATTCTTTTAAAGATACCACTATAAATTAATAATTATTAATTTACACTATAAAATAATAAATATTAATTTATAGATAAATTAATATCACTATAAATTAATAAAATTCTGTAGTCCCACCAATATTAATTTATAGAGGTTTTACTGTATATATATATGACTATTGAGGGTTTCTACATTATTTAACCAATGTGTTAGAATCATTTATTTGGTAATATGTTATTTTCTATATATAAACAATCATTTTTTTTAACACCATATAAACAATCATTATCTTATGAATTTTCACTCCCATTACATAAAATATTAATATATTATATACAAAATTATATTAATATTCAACGGGTTAAACCACTAATAATATTAAATTATTATAGTTATTATTAAAACTTGATAACTTCATCATAATTCTTTTTGATAGCAATTTAGCAAATTTTCATGTATTCGACTAAAATTACGAACATATACTTCCATTTTACAAAATTCTCTATATAGATAGTTTAAACCCATATATAGTTAAGATACTATAAATCTTTTTTGCTCTTGGTTTTATAATGTTAAGATTTTATACCAAAAGAAAGAGTACTACCTATTCTAATGACTACAACAAAAACTTTACCCAATAACACATAAACAAAGACATACATGAAATTATAAAGGATATAAATAAGACAAAAGTAAAATTAAAGAAGAGAATGAGATCACAAATCTTGCTCCCGGAAGAACAAAGGACGATTCTTCATAGTCCAATCGATAGCAAGACACTATACAATCTTATCAAACCTAATTTTTTTAAACACTATATGAGGTTTAGTATCGATAAAAATTTGTAGTATTGAGCGATGCCGTAAAAAGAAACAAACGATAATTCAACCTAAGTAGGCTAATAAAGCACACCAAATAAATTCAGAGAGAACACAAAACACGTCCACGACTTTATGAGAAATTTTTAACTTCCAACTCTTAAACTGAAAACAATAAAAACACTCCAAACCCTTAAAAAAAATAGCCAATAGAAATCTCCAAAGTGCGTATATAATAAAAAAAAATTCACTTATACGATTAATATTATTCGATCAACTCTCTCATATATTTCTCACCTTGTTGTGCCTCATACCTTTCTCGAAGACTTGGTGTTGAAAGAGCGACCAGTGCTCTCTTCTCTATCTCTCCCTCTCAACAAACACGAACAAATCCTTCGTCCTCTTTGTTCTTGTTGCCAACTCCGGATTCTCAAAGTGTCACAATCTCCAACATTGCAAGGCTGAGACATCTCATAAAACTAACTTAAAACTCAGGTTATCAAATCTACCATCTCCTCCTCGGTTTTACTTATGCCTTGTTTGGCAATTTACGTTTTCGTGTTTGCTTTCCTCTTTCTGGGTCTCCTTGTGTTGCAACGCTACTGCTTTATGCCTGTTAATCGAGAAACTTAACAATCGGAGGAGATTGCTGCTGAAAAATCCTCCTCTTTATACATCAAAGTACCCAACTTTTTTTGTTTTTTAACAATTTGTGTGTTCCATGTTTTTGTCTCTTGCGTAAAGATTTCGACTTTCGCTGCTTTTTCTTGCATACCATTGTTGATATGTTCGTCTCGTGGGTTAATCCGTAACGAGATCATTGAGAAATTACATGTCTATGCTGCAACTTGTTGATATGTTCGGGGATCGATGCTTTTGTGGGCTTTGCTTTGATCAGGTCTGATTAGCCCGGTTATGAATCTGGGTCAGTGTTTCTACATAATTTGGCTCTGAAAACACTAGATTTTATCTTTTCTTCTTCCGCTTCGTGCTTTTGTGGGTTTTGCTTTAATTTCCGTGGCTGTGTTTTGTTTCAATGATCAAGTCGTGAGCTTCCAATGATATGGAACAAAAGCAAGTATTTGAGCTCCCTTCTATTTCAGGGTCAAATACTAATAGATGTTCTTCCAATAATCTGGGAACTACTCAAGAACTGGGTTCATCTGAACAACAACACGACCAACAGAATACAGATGGTCAGAGAAGACAGAGCACAAGAAAACGACCATTGACCACTCGGGCTCTGGAAGCTCTTGAATCCGGCTTTCTTACAACCAAGAGAATGAAAAGCACAAGTAAACCGGAAACAAGAAAGCGTGAAAGTTCAACGAAGAGAAAGCGCTCAGCTAAAAAGTGTAACAGAAATGGGAGTTCAGATTTGGAGCACAGAGGAGAAGATAGAAGCATTTTTGTAAAGAAAGCACCGACGTGTAAGCCCTTGGATCAGATAGAGGATACAAAGCCTAGCTATCTTCTCAATGAAGCAAGAGCTGAGAGTAAGGCTCTGGATAAAATACAGGATTCAAAGCCAGTCCTAACTGAATACCCTAAACTTCCACCAATTGTTTTGAAGTTTCCATTCAGGCGTGGCTAAGGGGTAAGGAGCTTCAGGGACTTAAGTTCTGAAAGTTTTGATCGTTGGGACAGTGTGAGGAGATTGGCCATGCTGAAGAATAAAGGATGTACAGAAGAATAGTGCAGCTGTTCTTATTATAGTGCAACAGAAGGGCCACTTTGCTATTCTTATTATTTCCATTATTAGTCAGAACTCAGAAGGAACGTTTCTATTATTGGTTTGCTTGGGAGTTATTTGAAGAAACTTTTCATATGGTCAATATCCAGAAATATTTAGTGGACTAATAGTAATGGTTATGAGTATTTATAAAACATGATATATACAGTCATCGTTACATACAAATCCAGTAATTTAAGTGCAGCTGATTTGCAGAGGACGCTTGATTGCCTTGTCCAAGTTGTGAGAGACTGCTTTGGTTAAGTTGGGGTGCTCAAAACCAAAGGTCTGCTTTAGATCTTTTGCAGCCATAACGTAGGAAAATTGACTCAACAATATAAAGATATGATGAACAAAGAACTTTACCTCTGATCCATCCAAGCATATGATATTCACAGTCATAGGTACATCCAAAAGTTATTATATGACAGACTTCAGCTGATGTTCTATATATCAATCTCGTATTTGTATAGTTCAGACAATTTGACGTCGCAAAGGCTACAAAATAAAATAATGAACATTTCTAGCTAGTCATATATGTATGTTTGATTTAGTATAAATAGACATGTACGTATGAAGCTGTTAGCCTGTGTATATATATAACGTATATCAACCAAAAAAAAAGAAGATGAAGGGCAAGTTGTGGTTGATTGCTTCACTTTTGGTTCTCTCTTTGTTGTCTTCAGTCGAGACGATCTCAGCTCAACCATATAAATTTCGAAAACTCAGTGAGTATTATCATTTTTATCATCTCATCAGCTGGATCTAGGCAGTTGTAGTTTTTTCACGGTGGATGATAAAAATACAAAAGAAATTGAAGATGATTATAATAAGCTATTTACCGTTTTAAATTATTTGGCTAGCCTCTATGTTTCGGATAATATACATATATTTTGTTGTAGAAGACGAAATTGGAGAAATAATGATTCATATTCACGAAAAAAAGAAGATACAAACACCAGGTAGTGTGTCAAAGCGTGGAGGCCAAGGCTCACCATCCAGTACAGGTCCCCCGCACGCCGGTTGATATAAAGATTAGACGGATCGGCCAAGGCATAGTCGTACGTACATACATCCTTTATGCTTTTGTTCTTTTAAGATATACTTATGAGAAGCTGTCAAAAAAAAGAAAAAAAAAGATATACTTATGAGATTAAAATATTGCATGCTTTGTTGTTTATTTATGGAAACCCCCAATGTAAATTAAAGGGCAGTCCAAATCAGGGAACAAAAAAAGTTTTTTGTTTGACTTGTACATATTTTTGTGTCAAGTAAAGAAATTAATAGAATATGATTTTATTGTACAAAACTGACAATTTTAGTAAACTTAGGAAGGTTTGAAAAGAGAAATATAGTGAAATATTCCTTTGAACCAAAAGAGCGTGCACTAATCTCCCCGGAAGTAGAGCTATATGTTTGAGTCAAATCAAACAGTTTGACTTACATGATTATATAAGTTATATAGTATGTAAAACAAATTATAATATGTTTATAATGAAGTCTTCTGACGCGTTACGTGAAAACTTGATTAATAAGTTATGATAAAACTTATGTTTCGTCGATATATATCTTTATACTCAAAGAATGTAAGGTATCCACCAGAAAATGAAGGTCAATTTCTGTTTGATTGCTTCGCTTTTGATTCTCACTTTGGTGATTTCGTCATACGTCGTTTTAGCTCAACCACACAATTCCAGTAAGTGTTATTGACATTTCTATCATCCTCGTATACTCTAGTACTATATATATGCTAATGCTAAATGAGAAGCTAATATAATTATATATTAAAAAGTAAAAAAGAAAATTAAAATTAGTTAGAAGTTGGATAACATTTAGCTACTCCTTTGACATGTATATGCATGATTAATTAGTATATATGATCAATTCACTGTTATGATGATACCTAATGGAAAATTGTATAGAAGAAGAAACAATAGCAGAAGAAATGATTCACATTCGAAAGATAATGAAGATCGGAGCACCTCGTAGTAAGTCACCACCCGATCGCCAATGGGGTGAGCGTGACTCGCCACCAGCCGCAGGTCCAAATACACTGTAAGGCGATGGCAACACGATTTATGGCTACACATCGTATAAATATGTTCACCTTATTTAGTTTATGCTTACTCAAAAGAAAACCAATGACCGGTTCCCATGTATTTTGATTAAATTTTTTCTTTTTTTTTTGGGAGTTCATACAAAATTTTGTCAACGAACCAAGCTGTCACACCTAATTTTACATTATTTACTTAAGATTTGACCTTGTCTTTAATTGTAAACACATTTTTAGATAACGATGTTCATGTTTTTTTTTGGCATCTAGCTGGTATTATAATCCCATAGATTGTCAGTTGTCTATGTATAGTCGTTACTAATGCTATCTTTTCCTTCTTTGTTATAGTTGAACTCATACGAAATAAATTAAAAATCATTTCAATTATAGTTGAAATCATACAAAATAATTAGTACATTTCTGATTAATCAGAATTTGAGAGAATTAGATAAAGAATAAAATCTACAATGATTAGCACTGAAAAGTTAATTATGAGTTTTTTTTCTTCTTCTTTTTCTTGTCTTCGCTGTTGTTTAACCATATGGTCAATATCCATCTATATCTCGAATTTTGAATCAGTTTAGTGACGCGCATCAACGTTACTATCTCACAAACTACTCAACCTATAATATATAATGAAACTTGCTCACACGTCTTATATATTGCAATTTACACACATGCCTTATACATATAAAAAGGGAAAATTAATGAAGAAGAAAGGAATCAATATGCAAAATTAAAAAGAAGAAATTATGAAGAGAAAGTTGGGGTTGATTGCTTCTCTTTTGCTCCTCTCGTTGGTGTTTTCATCCAATGCAATTTCCCTTCAGCCACACAGTTTCCGCAAACTCAGTGAGTAGTATTGATATTTAATCATCGTCAATTTCCATTTTTGTTTCTAACATTGAAATTCATATGTAGTATCATCTCATGTATATATATATATGTATAGCTATAGTAATATTGAAAAAAGTATTTCTCATAATATATACATCATGATTGCTATTATCAGTTTATCTACTTCACTTTTGTTATTTTGTCTACACAGAAGAAGCTATCGAAACACCATGTAGTGTGTCGCCATCTGCTGGACAAGCAACTACCAATCCGATGACCACGGTCAAAGGAAAACCTTGTAGAAATATGTTCTCTATGGGCAAAGGCACTTAGCTTTTAATGGTGAACATATACAATCAATATGATACGCATATGTTTGTTTCTTCCTTTTTTTAGTCAACCATTTGCTTGTTTATTTTCTTGTTTCTTATATACATTTTGTTGACATCAACAGAATTATATTGATAATGTGAAGTCCTTATATATGGAGGAAACGTGAGATACAAGACGGAATGAAAAAACTCATATACATTGTATATCTATGATTGGCATATATATGTTTGTTTCTTCCTTTATTGTAGTATAAATTCGTGTTTGCATGCTTGAAAAGCCGTTTTCTTTTCTTTTCTTTTTGTGAAACAGTAATAATTTATTGGATATTTTTAGTGTCGAAAATAATCATATCATTGTGAAACTTGACTACTATTGTAGCTTTCACAACGACTTGATCGATTTAAATACACCCATTATTAAGTGATGGATGATGGATCCACAATATATGCACTAATTTTATAAGTTTACAGATAAAAAAAAATCCTAGAAATGCAAGGAAACTTGTGTATGAATCATGATTCAGATATCCAATATTATTCGTGATCCAATATTCAAAAACTGATAACGTACTCGTCGTACTGCATGGAGCATTGAGGAACAGGAGCAATGTCTATTGGGAGATGTAGAACCATAGATCAGTTCTCCCGGCCCTCCCAAGAATGTCAAGCTTGTGTTCAGATGAAAAACAATGTTGGTGTCGATCGATCGTGTTTGGCTACATTTTTAACCTTTGGAAAACAACGCGTATATGAGCTCAATTATTTGAACAAAACTAATAGAAGAGGTCAAGAGGACGTAAATCATCTCCATAGCATCATAAGGATTAAGACCTTCTTTTTTTTTGTTAAAGGATTAAGACCTAGTCATCTCTAGTTACATATTTATATAATTATGTGTATTTCAAAGTACTTCCACGCGCTATTTGAAACTCTTCATTATAAGTATTATTTATAACTATTTGTATCGGCAATTTCCATAACTTATGTTACATGATAATCAATGAATCATAAGAAACTATTTATGGAAAGACTTTGTATTATCAACCATATAAAATAAAGTAAACGCATGGATGAAATCATTCGAAAGATCCATCTAATTGGTTAATGATTTACGGTTTGATTCATATAAATATACACACGTTTACGTTAACCATTATAACGTACAAAAAAAGAAGAAGAATAAAATCAACACACAAGTAGCTAGGTTAAATGAAGGGGAAGATGTGGTTGATTGCTTTACTTCTGGTTCTTTCTTTGGTGATTTCATCTTATGTGAGTTCAGCTCAAGCATACAAATTCCGCAAGCTCGGTGAGTAATTCATACCGAATAACATTTTTGTCATAATTTGTATATTTGGTTTTGTTATATATATTCTTCTTCATACGACTTGTAAATAACTTTTACTTTTTATTTATGTAGGCAGAGTTATAGACACTGACCCTAGTATATCACCACCGGCGGACCAATGTTGCTAGGAAGCAAAAGGAGATGAACATATGGGGACTTCTCGTAGAAAAAGCCGTGTCTGTCAGAAAGTTAACTGTGGCGTAAATATATGTCTGCTTAACTGATTCAACGAAAATTTGTATATCTTTTTTGATAAAATGGTTTTCTTTAGTAACTGACAAATAAGTTTCAGCATTGGTATATGTAATTATGTTTTTCTCAAACATGACGCCCCTGTCTTTAATTTGACCTTATTAAATTAAACATATTCAAACGACTTCATCGACTAAACAAAGTTATAAATGCTTATGCTATTTTTCTTTTATAATTGACATTATTTTATGAAAACCTCAACGTCATCAGCAAACGTCTGAAAACCTCCATTGACGTTATGGTTTTCTTTGATAAAATAGTTATAAATGCTTACTAAATTTTCTTTTATAGTTGACATTATTTTATGAGAAGCATCATTCGTTGAAAATTTGTAATGAACAACTCTATCAAATCAAAAGTTGTATATATATATATATATATATATATGACCACCAATATATGTGTTTGCACAGTCCCAAATCTAATTATCAAAAAAAAAAAAATGAATTGGAAGTTGGTTTTGCTATTTGGTTGGATTCTCCTCTCGTCTATTGCATTAAACCCAACTTTGGCCAAAGTAACTTATCCATCTCGCATGACAAGTAAGTTTCCGTCACTTGTCTTTTTATTTGATACATATATTTTGAGATATACAGAAAAATAAGAAATTTGGGAATATACATATCAGCAGAGGAATGAAGATTGGCTTTACAGGCAGTTTCTCTAGACCTGCTCCTCACGGAAACGACCCGCCGATCAAGAAAATATCTAAACTATGACACATGTAGTGATCTTTTCGATGTAATCTATATATACGTACTAAGATTTCTGATTAAGCTTGTTAAGTTGTTTCAAATAAGTTCTCTTCGAATACTGGAATTTAAACTATTATTAGGGAAAAGGAAGAAACCTAAAAAGTCAATAATGGTTTCATTGCATGCATATCACCAACATGCAGTGGAGAGAACGACCCCTGATTATATAAATCTCTCTGTCTAAACAGTCATAAGATATAATATTTTGCATATTTTAGCCTCGTTTCAACTGTTCACGTCGCCTTGTTAAGTAGCAAAATAAATTATATACCACAATTCCTCTTTGTATAGTTTCTTCATTGGAAGAAGATTGGATCAGTTTTATATATACTTGGCTACGACAATATTAGTCATGAAATATCACGGTCACGGTCACACAGTTCGATTCGCACGTTAGGTTTTTAGTCTTGAGAAATAAAAACAAATTTAAGCAACGGGTTGTTCCAACATAGTCCAAAATTACTAGGAAGCAACTCATATCATAGCTACCAACTCATACAAAAGTTGACCCATTCTTATATACGTACCATAGCAATCAAACACTAAAATTATAGTTTTCAACTGTGTTTGAGTTTTTTTTTGTTATGGATCGGATTTCAAACATTGTCAATCTAAGTCATGATCCATATCAAAAAAAAAAAACTGAAAACTAGCAACGCGTTGCATGGACCAATTCAAGTTTTCAACATTTGGTCATATCAGTTAATATGATCCGATTTTTTATTTTTATTTTTTAAAGGCAGTATTTTGGGTAAGCACGGAAGACGTCCATGCTGGTATCTGGATACATTTCTAAAGTTATGTATATATATATATATCTTTAAACTTGTGCTTTCTGATTATTTGTTAAGTAATTGTTTCGTTATATATGTGTGACACTCATCGAATTAAATGAAATGGAATTTCTTCTTTTATATCTACAATTTTTAAAAAATAATTAACTGCTAGCTGAAATTGCATATGGTCATACAAATTTTTATTGGAATTTTCAACTCATGCAAGTACCAAGGAAAATATAAACAAGACTAAAAAAAGTCAAACAAGCTTTTAGAAAATTGTTTAGTTATTTATACTTAGCAAATTTAAACAACTTTGTATTCTATTTTCTGATTCTAGCTATACCATTAATATAGTAGACACCAATATTAGAGAAAAAGGGCTATGAATATCAAGTTCATTATGATAGCTTCGCTTCTACTTATACTCATTGCATCATCCAATTCCTCCATCATACCAACTTCCAAAAACCGGAAAATTAGTAAGTGTCTATAGTTTTGATTCATGTATACAAGTCCAAATATTATGTGTGTACCTAAAAAGAGGATTATACTCAAATCTTTTTTTTTTATGTGTTACAAGTCGATGAAGAAGTGGAGGGTGGTGAAAAGATTCACATTCACAAGATAAAGAAGATCACCGTAAGAGCCAGCCGTTCACCTCCTGCAAAAGGCGTTAAAAGTTACCCAACAAAGTCTAAGCTTCAATAGTAGAGCATTTTTTTTGCTTTATATATAATATCTCACTTATTAATGTATGGGCTTTAGGCCCAATTATACGGCATGCTTTATGGCCCGGTATACTGTATATTATTATGTATTGGAACTTTGGAATAAAAGTGTAAGTATTAAAAACTTGAAGGGCATGTTTTCGCAATTTCACACTCTTTTTCCTCCCGCCGCCGTCGCCTTCTCCTCCTCCTCTCCTCTCCTCATTTGTGAAATCTGAGCTTGTCTGAATAAAACGAAGCCCGATTCCTACAGCGATTCCAGTGTTGGGTAAGTTTCATCATTTCGGGGCTCATCTTCAGTAGGTAACTCTCGTCTTACTCTTGAAGTATTCAGATTTTCAGGTCTTACTAGAGAAATTTGCGAGTCTACTACTTGTTTGTAAGAAGAACCCTTAGTTAATCTTCAAATTGATGATCAGATAATCTAAAATTCATTTACAATTGTGATTTGATTTTGATTTATACATGTTTTCTCAAAGGAAGATACAGAGACTAGGATCGTCTAACTAGAATGTGGTTTTACTTGTAGTCAAGTCATTTTAATATGTCATCAAGAATTGCTTCAATCCGGCTAGTAAGTTCTCATCGTGAGGTCTACGAACCGTGTGATGATTCATTTGCTCTAGTCGATGCATTACTCGCTGATCGAACCAACCTGATAGAGCACAACCCCAAGGTTTGTATGGAGATCGGATCCGGAAGCGGGTATGTCATAACTTCGCTTATACTTCTTCTGAAAAACGAAGTTCCTGGTGTTCATTACCTCGCCACTGACACGAACCCGATAGCTGTAAGAGTGACGAAAGAAACTCTGGAAGCACATGGGGTTGATGCTGATGTTGTCTGCGCGGATATAGCTACTGGTCTTGATAAGAGACTTGCTGGATCAGTGGACGTGATTGTTGTGAATCCGCCTTACGTGCCTACACCAGAGTACGAAGTTGGAATGGAAGGCATCGCCTCTGCTTGGGCTGGAGGGGAGAATGGCCGGACTGTTATCGACAAAATCTTGCCTGTGGTTGATCTTTTGCTTTCCGACAAAGGTTGGCTCTACTTGGTGACATTGACTTCTAATTTCCCGGAAGAGATCTGTCTGATGATGAGAAAGAAAGGTTACGCGTCTAGAATTGTGGTTCAGAGATCAACAGAAGAGGAGAACCTCCTTATTCTTAAGTTCTGGAGAGACCAAGATGAGGTGAGCCACAAGGAGATCTCATCACCAACGTTTCTTGCGCACTTCTCTAGATCTTTATCATTGCTTATGGAGAAACGATGGCGTTGATACTACAAAACACTGATTGAATCTCATTTAGGATTCTTTGTTATCAAGTTATAAACACTCTTTCTCATTCTTTGTTAAATATGCTATCGAATCTTTCATTTTTTTTAAGTCTGATTAAAAAGTTCACTAGTCTATGAACATTGAACAACACTGTAAGTCTGTAACCAAACACACGAGCGCGTACCTTATAACAACATAAGTGCTGATGACGTGGTCGAAGAAAAGTGGACGTTCGTATAAAACACAGTCAATGACCGTCATCGTAGATTTTCCCCTGGATTTCCCGAAAATACCCTCGATGTTTCGAAGACGGTCAAGGGTGGGATGGGGATGTATAAATAGGTGTAAAGGAGAATAAGGATCCCAAATCCCGAAACGTAAGTCGGTGAGCCTCTCTCTCTCTCTCTTAAACAGATCTAAAAAACCAAAGAAGCGAGAGAACAAAATCAGTCTTCTCCTCTCCCTTTATATATAAGCACAGATTTATAAATCTGTTTCCCTCTTCCCGATTTCTCAATTCTTTTCGTATAAAAGCTTCATCTTTTCTCAATTCTCCCGTCTCTTTTCTCCTGATTCCTCCCGTTTAATCTTCTCTAAATCGTTCTAAATCTACGAAACCCTAGATTTCTTGTTCGAAGCTCGGATTTGCTCGCTGTCGAAAGGTCTGACCTTTAATCCTTTTTTCATGGGTTCTTAATCGTTTAGTGAACCTCTTGAATACGATTGGATCTTACTGGCTCTATATTCTTAGATAATTGAAACCCTTTAAAAGAATCTATCTGATAAGACTTTTAAACATATTCTCTCGTGGCATGGTACCGTGTCTAGTGTCTATCTATATCTGGTCTGATTCTTTCCTAGCTTAGCTTTCTGATGTGTTGATTTTGCTTTACTGTAATTTTAGAGGAATGGCTGATCAAGCATTGGAAGGGAGTAATCCAGTGGACCTTGTCAAGCATCCTTCCGGGATTGTTCCTACTCTTCAGTGAGTTCTTTTGTTCCTTTTTTAATCTTTGTTTTATAAGTCTCTCAAGGTTTAGTGTTTAACTCTTGTGGTCGTGGATACTTATACAGCTTTGATGTTTTGTTTCAGAAACATTGTTTCTACGGTGAATTTAGACTGCAAGCTCGATCTTAAAGCCATAGCTTTGCAGGCTCGGAATGCTGAATATAATCCCAAGGTATTGTATTTTGTTACATTTTGTTTTTGTAAACGGTAAATAAGTGGTTGTCTATCCACTGTGTACGGATTGCTAAGAATCTAAGATATTATCTGGTTTTTTGGCTATTGCAATACTAATTGGCCATACTTAAGTTTTTCTAATTTGAATATCTCGTGTGTTAATGTTTTCAGCGTTTTGCTGCGGTGATTATGAGGATCAGAGAACCCAAGACTACAGCATTAATATTCGCCTCAGGGAAAATGGTATATATTTTGGTTGGCAATACTTTTTCATCGTTCTGATATTTATTTGGATTTTTAATTTTGGTTTGAATTCTCTTTTGAATTTGGGGTCTAATCTACAATAGGTCTGTACTGGAGCAAAGAGCGAATACTTTTCTAAGATGGCTGCAAGAAAGGTAGATTTCGTTTCTCTATACTCTTTTATTAGCTTGCTTATTGCTATTTACCTGAATTGGGATCTCGTCTTCTTTACTTCAGCTATATTCTAGATTTTTTTATGCTAATAGGAGATGTTTTGCTGTTTAGTATGCTAGGATAGTGCAGAAATTGGGATTCCCTGCAAAATTCAAGGTACAATTTCTACCAAACTCTCTTCCCAGCCTGATATTATTTTTTCTTACTTTTGTTTGTACAAATTTTTTCCATAATTCCATGGTTGCTTCCTGCAGGATTTCAAGATTCAGAATATCGTAGGTTCTTGTGATGTCAAATTTCCTATAAGACTTGAAGGTCTTGCTTACTCTCACGCTGCTTTCTCAAGTGTAAGTGATCTTAACTCGTGAAATCATTGTTGTTCTTATGTTGAACTACAATAAGCATACAGTTAATAGTTAAGCCCCAAATTTTAGTGATAAAAATGTTGTGCTGATGGCCATTACATCTCTCTCTCTCTCTCTCACACACACATATTGGTGTTTCCAGTATGAACCCGAGCTCTTCCCAGGTCTTATTTACAGGATGAAAGTGCCAAAAATTGTTCTTCTAATCTTTGTATCTGGGAAGATCGTGATCACAGGAGCCAAGGTAATATCTCACTCCTCTTTAGGTTTTGTGATAATCGCATGAGAAATACTTGCTATGTCTCCCTCTAGTCTTTAGCTCTTCTACCATCTGATAAAAATCCTGAGGTTACTCACTATCAGATGAGAGACGAGACATATAAAGCCTTTGAGAATATATACCCCGTCCTCAGAGAGTTCAGGAAGATACAGCAATAGTATGTAACACACTTAACTTTCCTCATCTTTCTTAGTTTTGGTTGATTTTTCAATTTTATAATTGCATGAACGTAATTGTTTTGTTTAAATCTTATAGGATCACAGATGTGGAGGATTTGTTCCCTGCCCGAAAATAGTTGTGGCGATAGAAGCCCCTTGCAGTTGTTAAAGTTTGCTGAGGATTTGACCCTTGAAGAAAGGCTTTCACAGTATCTAGACTCTCACCTTGTGTTTTGGTTCATAATAGAACATTGTAAATACACAATGGAGATTCCAAAGACAATTCTTCGGTTCTTTTTTCCAAGATATGTCTCACATGTACGCTGCTGTAGCCACTTCTCACGTATGTTATGTACAAACTTAATTCAATGTGCTGCCCCACCTGCTTTGAAAGTCTTGTTGTTTAACATAGATCAGCCAAGATTATGAATAAGAAGGATGGGGTGTACTGAGATCATAGGGTAAATATAGAAAATGATGATTTTAGTATCCATTACGTGTCTATACATTGTACATGCTCAACTTCAATAGTTTGCTGAAAGATACTTGCGAAAAGATACCATAATCTTTTTTAGACCAGCCTAGATTGTGAACAAATATTGAGAGTTTAAGAACATAAAATTAAACACAAAATGATTACAGTATCCATTGTACAAGTTACATATCTGAACCACTAACTTTAGTTAAAGTGTTTTCGGAAACAGAGAACAAGATAGTGCTGAGTTGATTACAGTATCCATATTTTTTTCTCCAAATGGTTCTGTAATCCACTGTAATTTGATTACAGTATCCAAATGGTTCTTTAATTCTATTCCAGATACTGTAATCCTCAGGGACATCCTCTACCGCTTGACAATACAGCCACTAAAGAAGAACAATGGCCCATTAGACTCTTAACAGGTTATTGTAGTTGAAAATTAACTCTCAAGAAGATGTGAAAGCGAAAGAAGAAGTAGTACCTCTGGTTTAAAAGAGAGCGTGATTTGGATCACAAATTGATGACAACGTCCCCTGAATTTGAAGCAAATGCATGATTAAAAGATTTTGGTAAGAAGATGTAATTTGATATCAGGGGATTGACAGGAAAGCTTCAGGGGACTCAGAGTGGGAATGTCCACCATGACTAAGGTCTCAAAACCAAGAAGATTCACTACAAGATGTAACTGGTTTCCACGTGGATATCTGCACTTTCAAGGCTCATTAACAATCTAGAAGATATATAGAGTTCATTCAAATGCAGAAAGAAGAAATCGTAAATGTCTATTGTTGGAGTCTTATAAACCACTAAGCAGAATTAGGAGTATGATTACTTGTATGGATTCAAGAGAAAGAGGAGTGGGGATGTTTATTTAGGGACTAGAGACCGCGAGAGGAGAAGTTATGTTCAGTCTAGACGTATCGAATGAAACTGGTGAGCGAGTTTGTGGGATGTATTGTTTTCCATGTCACATTGAATATCATGCATGTTCTTGTAAGCAACACTAGTCTTCATATTCACTTACTTCACTATTTAGGTTAACAAAGACTGTTTATTTCAACATGCTCAAGTTTCTTTTCTTAACTTGATATTGCTCTGGTTCTCGTCTATCTTTTAAGTGTCTTGTATGCATGGAGAGAAGTGAGAAAGAAAAATTACTAAACTACGTATAGTTCTTTTGTGTTACATATTTTCCAAGAATAAATGGTATGTGTTGGTGTGAGCACTGTGCAGTTTCCCCCAGAACAACTTCATAGAGAGTTGTGAAATTCGTATGTATATAGGTTGAAACAAGTATGACAACCAGTCATGTATATTAATCACTTAGAAAGATTGTTCATTACCTCTGTGCAGTCCAAGATCACAAAACGACAGAATCTAAATCATGCAATGAAAACTTGATTCTAGCCAGACCAAACATCAAAGAAAACATTCGACAGCAATGAACAGAAAAGGACTAGAGCAATGAACTATGTGAACCAAACAAGGATTTCATTATGTACAAAAGCCTAGCTAGGGATAAAACATGCATATAGATGTAAAATTCATAGGGAAATATGTTAAAACATGATTATTTGAAAGCTACTCCATGGATTGAAAACCAAAACTAGTTCCAAGAGGAATAAGGATGATCTTCATGGTGAGGAGGCTGGTTGAGATCAAACCCTAAGGATCTCTTAGGGTCATCTCGAGGATTATTCACCTTCACTTCAATTTCCATCTCTATCTTCATATCTACAATCAAACCCTTCTTATCATCATTCATCCCACCATCACCTAATACCTTATCTTTTCCTTTGTAGCAACTAGAACTTCTTGCCTCGGATTTGGGTGAATCCATATCTTTCTTTATCCCATCCCAGCAATTGCTTGAAGTGTAAGAGATCATCATTAGAATACAAGCAGCTTCTTGAACATCCTGAGTCACATCACTCATCATTGTGGATCTACTCCTCACATCAGAATCATCCTCATCAACATCATCCTCACCATCATCATCCTCTTCATCATCATCACCCAAGTAGCTTAGGTTGAACTTCTCCTGTGGTGGAGGAGGTCGTACCCCTTTCCAACTCCTGTCAGGATGTCTCCTCATATGACCAAACAGAGAGTGCATCGTTTGGAACTCTTTTCCACATAGACAACACCTAATCTTACCTTCCATGTCAGCAGCGATTAGATCTATCTCTTTCTCCTTGTCTTTCTTCACCAAACCAATCTTTCTCTTCTTCTTCTTCATTTTCAACTTCTTCTTCATCTTTCCTTTGTTGTTGTACTCAGTTGAATGGATCCTCACGTGACCACCGTAAGCCTTACCAGAGCTAAATTGTTTCTTACAAATCACACAGAAGTGCTTCCTCAAAGGAAGCTGCTGAGGAGACTCATCATCTTCATCTTCACTTCTTTCCTCCTCAAATTTAACCTTCAGTTTCTGGTGAAACTCTTCAGATTCCGACGAGAAAGATTCATCTTCTTCGTAAGCATCTCTTGTTCTCTTCATGATCTTCTTCTTAGCTTTCTTCTTTCGTTTTTTTGACCTCGAGAGAATGGAAGAAAATGTTATTTTACTTTTTTTTTCTTGTGTTTGTGTTCGGTTTTGTTAAACGTTTTTGAGAAAAGTTTATTAACTTCGCATTTTGTTTATGGAAACAATAAAATCTGAGCGAGATTTACGCAAAGGAATAATGACTAATGGTATTCTTCCTCTCCATGTATGACTATGAGGAGAGAGTAGCTAGGGATTTGTAGAGATTGTGTAAGCCTAATTAATTGTCATTAGAGAGAGAGTCGGATTAAAAAGATTTCATTGTTTTCATTTGCATTTATCTTTTAACCTTATTATAATTATTTACCTATTTTGGATGTCACATTTATTAATATACACTAAGCAAAATAGATATCCTTTTCTTTCTTTCTTATTCTTTTTTTTTTTTTATAAATTTATAACACAATCTACACATATAAATATATAAAACAAAATAAATATACATTTTAGATTAAATTAATGAAACAAAATTTGAGGACACGGTTTTGATTTTAAACAAAGCAAAATCTAATTTAGTTTTAAAAAATCATACTAATATATTAGCAAGTTCACGAACTAGAAAAAGTGTTTTTGAATTTTACATATCTTCCAAAATATAATAAAAATTTTATTATTATATCCCACAAAACAAATCACCACCTATTAAGTTTTTTTTCTACTTATATTAACCTCTACTGATACAAAAAGAACCAAAAAAAAATGTAACAAACAATACAATCACCCTGACAATTATGTTTAAGTTTCCAATATCAAAATTTTAAATATTTTACTTCTATAACTAATTTAACTTTAAATTGATATAGATACTGTCAAATATTGTCAAAAGATTTTGACCGATTTTTCGAAACTGAAAGGTTTGAAAATTTTCCAAACTAATATCGTTAAAAATAATTACTTGACAAAGGAGCAAAATGACAGTTTTTGTTTCTTTCTTATATTTTCTAGAATCTTCGTACAGATTAGTCAACACTCATCAGATTGTGAGCCATGGAAGAATAATGAATGTAAGACCAGAAACGAAACTTGCATTGTTCTTGGTTGGCATGTAGAAGAAAGAGGGAAAGGAGTATCCAAGCCACAAACTCTTCTCAGGTTACTACTTCCAACTGCAGAAGTTTAGAAAAGACTTTTGTTACAAAAGATTCTCATGTTGTTGATGAAAATATGACTTCTTTTTTTGTACCCTCAAGAAGAAAGGCTCAACTATAGTTGCAGAGATTATCCGGCCCCAAAGCCTCATGTAACAGGTGCTTCAAGGCAACACCATCCAACAAGAGTTAGGCCAGAACCTTCTCGTATAACCGTTGACCAAATGTTATATCTCTGCCTCATATAAATGTGCCAATAAAATTTTGGAGTCATCCTCAGGGACATCCTCTACAGCTTAACATACAGCCACAGAAGAAGAACAAATTAACAGGTTCTTAAAGTTGAAAATAACTCTCAAGAACCACGTCTGTGTAAGCGAAAGACGAAGTAGTACCTTTGATTTGAAAGAGACAATGGGATATATGGATCACGGATGGATGACAACAAACAAATAGTCCCTTAGCTTCTAGTGGACTTGGAGGAAGTAAATTGTAACCCAAGAATTTGAAGCAAAGACAGAAAGAAGATGATTAGAGGCTTAAAGTAAGAAGATGTACTTTGATTCCAGGGACAGGGCAGAAGAAAGCTTCAGGGGACTGAGAGCGGTAATGTCCACCGTGACCATGTGTTCTATACGGTGAGTGCTACAATTTCCATACAAGTCTAACCAGTAAAAGTTTTGACAACTGGGAGTCTCAAAACCAAAAAGATTCACTACAAGATATGACTACCTCCAATTAAAACAGGTTGCCACTTGGTTATCTGAACTTTGCTGCCTCAATAGCGATCTACGAGATCACAGAACTCCATAGCCCATTAGCCTCATTAGGAACTCTTTTGTGTCATAACTTGGTTAAAAAGGGTAAAAGGTAACATTTTACCTGATCAGGAAAACATAATCGGCAGTATATATATAGATAACCCTGTAACAGAATTTGTAACCAGTAAAGATGTTGTGATAGCAGTGAGACCTTAAAAGATAAACAGAACTACAAAAAAAGAAGCTAAACCAATTCCTTGCTCGCAAAGTGATCATTTTCCTCTTTCGATACTTTGGCTGAAACAAAACAGGCAGTTCAAGCTGAGTTTAGTATAGCACATCAGCAAGTTTGGCATCCTAATTGATGACGATAGATCAAAACCACACATACGTTGAAATGGAGATTTGGAGAGAGTGCCCGACTCTTTTTTTAGTTTAGGTTCTTTCACAATTATCAGTACAACTAGATTATGTGTTTGATTCAGATAACTTTCGAAAAAGACACAAGCAAGGAAATGAGGCCAAGACCATCTCCTCAGATTCTAAAGAACTCATCAAACAGAGTTAAGTCTGAAGCCAAACCAAGAAACAAAAGAAAAGAAAAAGGAAATAAACTCTGCCTAAAAAAATCCAACAGAAATCAAAAACAAAATCCCACCCTGCTTTTTATCTCACCTTTTTCTCTCTAATTCTTCCCACGACTTAGTAGGTCCTCCTATACGCATTTTTACAGGGTAGGGATCACCAGAAAATGAAAAAAAAAAAAAACCAACATAAACTTGTAACGACACTGAGATTTATAGAAAAGGAAAATGGAAACAAAGAAATGATTGAAGAAAAGAAAACTGGGATTTAAAACTTCTAAGCGCAAAGAAACGGATCATCTCAGGTACTAGAGGCTCCCCTTCCATGCTGCTTCAAGGCTCACGGCAGTCTTTCTTAAGAGAATCTGTAAACGCGATTGTTCATATCCTCTCTCTCTTGTCCTTTTTAAGCTCTAGCCGTGAGCAACGTCCTCTGAGCTAGCAACCATTTGCCACCACATCGACTGGGACTGGTTTAGTTACAGACCCATTCTCAGCAACCTTGACATCACCAGTAGTTTGAACTGCTGAAGGAGAATCTTTACTTGCTGAATCCGCAGTTGCAGATTCCTTTTTTTCTTCAGTTGTCTTCTCCTCGCTTACCTGTTAAGATTTAATTCATTAGAAACACTCAAGTAACATGTACTGATTGAATTTCTGTAATTGTGTTCTTGTTCTTGCCTGTTTCTGGGTTTGCTGCTGCTTGGCTTTCTTCTCCAGAATAGTCTTCTGTCGAACCTCGTAGAATGAGAAATCATCCAAAATGCAAGTCTTACTGCAATGCTCCTTGAAAATTTTCACAATCTTCAAACCTTGCTCCAATTTAACCTAAACATGATCCCAAAAAAAAAAATTTAGCACAAGAAAAGAAAACAAAACAACAAACGCTTGAGAGGAATATCAATTAAACAACTTCAAGATATGTCAAAAATATTTACCTCTTGTGTGTCTCTGCTGTTGGTAACTGGTTTGTTCTCATTGTTCTCAAGGGTGATATGTTTTAGCAAACTGTTTGGAACATCCTTCACAATATGCCACTTGAGGGGGAAAGAGCCAGTCCACTTATCTTGCTGCCAGTACTCCACATTCGTATTGAAATCTACTGGTCCTGTCATTTCAGCAAGACCAACAAATTGTCCACTTGCATTAACCTGAAAGACAAAAATTGGAGTATAGAGATCAATATCATGAACCACAGTGTAAAGAGGTAACCGATTGATTTCAGAATTATATACACACCGAGAAAAAGAGAAAGATGGGACAGCCGCCAGGTTTCTGCTGAGCTTCCTGGTATGCTGCAGCAAGCTTCTTGTTTCCATTTGGTGTGCTAGCCCAAACATTATATTTAATGCTCTTGTGCACATCATCTTCACTGTACGACTTGATGATAAAGAACATGGCATTTCCATAATCCACTGGGAAATCTTCTTTGTTGTACTGTTCTCTGTCAGGAACAACACATGTGCTATCAGCCTCCCCAATCTCTGTTACATTTGGTTCTCCAGTCTGCTCCTTAACCTCTAAGCTATCTTCTAAATTTCCCTTCTGGTTCTTTGTACCCTTAGCTCTAGGTCCTCTGTTAAGTTCATTCAAACCATCTACATTGTTCTCATTTCCATAGAAGTAACTGTTACCCCTTCCCCAGCTTCTGTATTTGTTGTCTGTGGTCACCCAACCTCTTCCATTTGTTCTTGAATCATACCCTGAAGAACCATAACCCATACCAGACCTCCCGGTGCTACCATACTGACCATACACCTTGTTTGAATACATCCTGTTGTAGTATGCCTGACTTGTACCATATCCCGTCACAGATGCATGCTGGTGCACACTCTGCATAGAGCAAAAATTGATGAAATGATAAGATAACAAAATTGGAAGACTTGTGCGGCAATGAATATACCAATATAGAAGACTATAGTGCCCAGTTAGTAAAATGAATTATAAAAAGACATCATACCGCGTAATGAGAATTTGAGCGGTAGTTTTGGTTCCTCGATGAAGGTACAGTGCTAGACTTGGAATAGGAGGACGCAATTCCACTACCAGACACAGGTCTTTGCACATCTGAGTACTTAGAGCCATCGTGCCACGGCACAGGAGCATAATACGCATCATAGTTAAACCTGGGATCCTGCTGATAACCAGTAGCAAAACCTCCTCCTGGAGCACCCATTCCATACAAATTACTTGAGGTGTTAAGTGCGGTCTGGTTAGTTGGTTTCACTGGAGCTGATCCATTACTTCCTTTTGTGATACCAGTAGCAGAAGCAACATTAGTGCTATCCGCAGGTAGTGTCTTCACACCAGCAGCTTTGTTTGCGGAAAGATCCCCCTGGGTAGGAGTAGCCACAGATGAAGCAAAGGGTCCACTGTTTGGAAAATAGGCAGGATATTGATACTGCTGAGCACCATACAACTGCCCATCTCCGCCAACCTGTGGAGCAGGGCTTGTAGCTGGCGAGTAAGGATATGTTGCATACGTGTAACCCGGAGGATACACAACAGTTCCATTCTCTCCATAAATTCCCTGGTAAGACATTGAATCTGTTAAAGAGAGAAGACGTAAAGCAGATGGAAAATCACATCAGATCTAGCACACACTTACGGAATTCATATCAACACCCTCCGAATTTGTGTAAGCTGCGTAGTCTGTCCACTCCTGACCACTCCCATATGCTGAAACTGAAAAGCAAGAAACTTGTTAATAAGCATGGGCGACAATCTTGTGAGATCATGTTTCCAGGTAGTGAGGTGCTAGATAAAGAAGTTACCATTATAATAATAGGGAGTGTAGGGATTAGGAAGATAGCAAACAGAAGGGTCCGCGGCATCACTGGGAAGCAACGGTGTCAAGGATCGATCATAAGAAGGAACTTGACCATGAGCATCCACGCCTCCGTACTGGTAGACGGCAGTCTGTACATAAAAAAAAAACAAAAGGAATCTTCTTGTTAAAAATTGGAAGCTCAAAAGTTGTGAACAATAGAAACCAAAAAAAAAAATTGCTGTTCACCTTTTTGTTTGGCTCAGGGATCTCCGAAGCTTTTGCTTGCGAGTCCAAAGATAGTTTCTGCAACAGATCTGCAGCTTCTGTAAACAAGGTGAGTCAAGGAAGCAAAGACCCTTGGGTGCGAAGGTAGAATTACACAAATCAACCATTAGAAAAGTGGAAAGCAACGATTTTGAACCATGTAAACTTATCAAATCAATCAAACCCACCACAAAAGAATCGATTTCAATCAAATAACTCCAACGAGAAGCTAATAAAAAACAAACGACCCATGAAGAAAGATATAGAGAAAACTCAAACTAAATCTACGCAATATCAAATCAATCTGAAGAATAAATGAATAATCACCGGAGAGAAATAACGAAACGCGAATTCAAGATCCAACAGGAATCAAGGGAGGAACGAAGAGATCGAGAAAGAGAAAACACAGATCGAGAAAACCAAAAGGATACGATCAGCAGGGGGAGCAACGGTAGCCATGATAGGAGATTCGACAAACGAAGATTGGATAGATCCTTCTCGGATAGAGGGGGCGATGCGACCAAAAAAAGATAAAAGAGAAGAAGAAAAAGAAGATAGAGAAACCCTAAACGGAATCAGAAAAACCCAGATCGAATCTAGGGTTTAAGAGATAGAAAGAGGAAGAGGAAGAGGAAGAGAGGGAAGAAGAAAAGGGGGTAAAAAATTTGGCCGCAGCCGCCAAGGAGAAGGAAGGGTTTTGCTTCGGGGAAGAGGAAAAAAAGGGTTTTGTCTCTCTACCTCTCTAGTGATTCAAATACATCCACGAATCAACCACCTCACCTCACCCTCTCTCTCTTTTTTTATTTTTATTTTTATTTCTTCCACCTTAAGATATTTCCTCTTTTGTTATAAAAGACCATAGACCGTGTGGCTTTGGTTAATTACCAGAAATATCTCTTTGTATACTGTATATTTGTTTCCTTTTTTTTTAATTGGTAAGTAATCTTGTAATAAATAGATAAAAAAAATCTAAAAATATGTTTCCCAATAATAATAAATTTAGCAAATTGGTCAAATTTAAAAGCAAAATAAGTCATAGTTTCCATTAAAATTTGTGTTCCTTCTATATAATTTCCCCCCATATATTCATTGAAATATCTTTAGATATATATTCAACTTTTTTTTTATCAACTATTTAATCACCTTTCTCTTTTCAACAAATTATTTAATCACCTAAAAGCAATTTATTTAGGATAAAAAGTCCAAGACCAACTTTATAATATTTTTTTTTAGATTAGACCAAAAAAAATAATAAACCGGGTGTATGTAATGGGCCTATTTGATCAAAATATTCGTAAACAGGCCGTAATCACAAAACAAGGCCGAACCGGAACGTGACCCAGGATCCGATTACCCATCCGACGTTCTAGAGTGTTCTAATCACAAACAATACAATCCAACGGACCAGATAAGCTCGAAGTTTCAAGAGCTCACTTGGCCTTTATATTCAGAGAAAATAAAAAGAAGCAACTAGTAGCAAGCAAGTGCATTCTTCATTTCTTCAGTGGAGAAACCTACTTCCTCCTCCTTATCCGTAATTAACCTCTCCGGCGCCACCTCCCACCGCTTCACCGTCGTTCCACCGTACGGTGAGCTCACAATTTTTTTCGTCCTTTTAAATTGTGTGCGTCGATTGAGTGCTTTGTTGGAATTAGAAACAAGTATATTGGTAGCGGAGGAACTAGGATGACGTAGTTTTCGTGTTCCCGGAGGTGTATGCTGTTAGTTTAACTGTGGCTTTTGAGTATTTGGGAGGGGGAGTGAGCTCTTGATTTTGAAATTGAGTCTGTGTTTTTCTATTTTGTTGCCAATTTTAATGGGAGAATCATTCGTTATAAATCTTTATGTGACTGTTGGATTTTATTTACAGTGTGAGAAGTCAAAATGGCATCGGCGTTTACTGCCACGTCTTCCCTTGGTTCCTTGGTTGCTCCCAATGCTATCAAGTTGTCTTCTGCGACTTCCCTTTCTTCAAGCTCTTTTGGAAGGAGACAGAATTTGTGCCTAAGAAGATCCCGTCCTGCAATAGTATGTGCAGCCAAGGACTTGCATTTCAACAAGGATGGGACTACCATAAGGAAGCTTCAAGTGAGAATTAATGAAATCGTTTCTTAAAGATTCGGATTTGTTTCGTCATGAAACTTTCGTTTTTGGTTTCTGATTCCTCTTTTTGCAATTAGGCTGGTGTCAACAAGCTTGCGGACCTTGTTGGGGTCACACTTGGACCAAAAGGGAGAAATGTTGTTCTTGAGAGCAAGTATGGATCCCCAAGAATTGTTAATGATGGTGTCACTGTTGCTAGGGAGGTATGAATTTATTTGTCTTTTTTCAGCTATAATTTCGTTGAAATTACTTCTGTAATCTCAAGGTTTTCTTCTGGTTAGGTCGAGTTGGAGGACCCAGTTGAGAACATTGGTGCAAAGCTTGTAAGGCAAGCAGCTGCAAAGACCAATGACTTGGCTGGTGACGGTACAACAACATCTGTTGTTCTAGCACAAGGTTTTATTGCTGAGGGTGTCAAGGTTGGTGCATTCTTTTTTCGGCTTTCTCTGACCAAAAATAAAAACTCAAAAAAGAAAAGAAAAAACAGTACACTTATCTTAAATTTAAATTTTCAGGTGGTGGCTGCAGGTGCAAACCCTGTATTGATTACTAGAGGCATTGAGAAAACAGCTAAGGCTTTGGTTAACGAACTCAAACTAATGTCTAAGGAGGTGAGTAATTATTTTGCTAAACTCCCTTCTTAAAGTTTAAAATCTATAGCAAGAGGGTCTAATGGTTATATCATTGGATGTATAGGTTGAAGACAGTGAACTCGCTGACGTGGCAGCTGTTAGTGCTGGTAATAACCATGAAGTCGGAAGTATGATTGCTGAAGCAATGAGCAAAGTTGGCAGGAAGGGTGTGGTGACCCTTGAGGAGGGTAAAAGCGCTGAGAACAACCTTTACGTAGTGGAAGGAATGCAATTTGACCGTGGTTATATCTCCCCGTACTTTGTGACAGACAGTGAGAAAATGTCTGTTGAGTACGACAATTGCAAGGTAAATTTTCTAGGTTCTGAGCTACCGAAATGATATTGTGATGCAGAGGGCTTAATAATTTCCTACTGTGCAGTTGCTTCTTGTTGACAAGAAAATTACCAACGCAAGGGACCTTGTTGGTGTTTTAGAGGATGCGATTAGGGGTGGATACCCAATCCTAATAATTGCAGAAGATATTGAACAAGAAGCTTTAGCTACTCTTGTTGTGAACAAGCTTAGAGGCACATTGAAGATTGCAGCTCTCAAAGCTCCTGGATTTGGAGAGCGCAAGAGCCAATACCTTGATGATATTGCCATTCTAACTGGAGGTAGATGATGGTTTATAACAAGCCTATGTTAATGTATCTGTATCGATCGATGTGCCCTCCTGTTTTGTAATCATTTTGTTGTTATAATCTTTTCATGTTGCTTCTGTTGGTGTTTGCAGGAACTGTGATTAGAGAGGAAGTTGGTCTTTCTCTTGACAAAGCTGGAAAAGAGGTTTTGGGTAACGCTTCTAAGGTTGTCCTGACAAAGGAAATGACCACAATTGTAGGTGATGGGAGCACACAGGAAGCAGTTAACAAACGTGTTGTACAGATTAGGAATCTTATTGAGGTATATGTTTAAGTCAAACTGCAAAGAAGTCTGTGATAGCTACTTGTTTTGTGTATAGCTTGCTTATGCTAACACTCCCATGGTTCTGCAGCAAGCAGAGCAGGACTATGAGAAGGAGAAACTAAACGAGAGAATTGCCAAACTCTCTGGTGGAGTTGCTGTAATTCAGGTAAATAGTAATCACGTTGGCTTTCTTAGATTTGTATGTCAGAAGAATGAGTTAAGTGATCCTGATTAAAGCTCTTACATCTTGGTTAAAGGTTGGAGCCCAAACTGAGACAGAGCTCAAAGAAAAGAAGCTGAGAGTGGAAGATGCTCTTAATGCTACAAAGGTGATTTCCTTTATCCAGCTGATGGGGTTATAGAGGAGTGTGCTTTTCTCACTTACTCATGTAACATCTTAATCATATGACTTCGTTGACTTTCAGGCTGCTGTTGAGGAAGGTATTGTAGTTGGTGGTGGTTGCACTCTGCTCCGTCTTGCATCCAAGGTCGATGCCATCAAGGATACCCTTGAAAATGATGAAGAAAAGGTAATTGGGAAAATCAAGACTTTTCATTACTTCTGGGGATTTGCGGCAAATTGCTTTGCTCATACTGCATTTTTCAACCATTTCCCACCTGTAGGTTGGAGCGGAAATCGTTAAAAGAGCACTGAGTTACCCCCTGAAATTGATAGCTAAGAATGCTGGTGTCAATGGAAGTGTTGTCAGCGAGAAGGTTATAACACAACATTAAAAAATCTCCATGTTTATTCAGCTCTTGATCTAAGTAAGTTGCTTAAATAGCTGTTTTTATTCATTGCAGGTACTAGCTAATGATAATGTGAAATATGGTTACAATGCTGCAACGGGCAAGTATGAAGATCTGATGGCTGCAGGCATCATCGACCCGACAAAGGTCAGTTTATCACATGACACTCTCACTCTGTTTTGCTATCCCATCTGATAGCAAAAGATCCAATGAACCTGAGTGAACTTTTGTATTCAGGTTGTGAGATGTTGCTTGGAACATGCAGCCTCGGTTGCAAAAACTTTCCTGATGTCTGACTGTGTGGTTGTTGAGATCCCAGAGCCAGAGCCGGTTCCTGCTGGCAACCCCATGGACAACTCAGGTTCGCCCAGACATTCAGATTCATGAAAACTAGACAGTGACATCAAGACTAAACTCATGTTTCTTATCACTAAATCTCTTGACTGCCTTGTTTCAGGATATGGATACTAAGATAGACCGACCGGGTTTGCTCTGACAAGTTGAGAGATAGGCGAAAATTCCGCAACGAGAGTAGCTCACCGGGATACGGATTCCTTTAGCTTGCAAACAAATGTATATGCAAGTGTAATGATTTTTGAGCGAGAGAATAATGTGTTCATTAGATATCATATTTGGAATCATTATGAATAATAAATCGTCTTCAAAATGTCGGAATCTCTGCCATCTTATGGATGAATTTTGTTGCTTCTATCGCAAACTCATATTGGTTAATCCAATCCCCAAAACCATGTTAAATTTAAACTCATAAAACAGGCATACCATTCCATTTTGGATATCTAGAGAGGCTACAAAGCTTAGATAATTCTTGCCAATGACTAAACAGATGATTCCGGCTGGACTGGTGAAGACTATGAAATATAATCACCGCAAGCAAGTCTGATTAGATATGTTCTAAGTTCCAGTATGTTTGTTCAAGGCAAAGATATGGTAAAGCTGCGAGAACTTAGAACCATCTTTGGTTTGTTATTTTACCATCTATATCTAGCAAAGCTTACGGATTCAAGCAACTACGGAGCTCAAAAAGTTATAATGGACATAGCGAGTTTAAATTCAAAAGCTTCTTGAATCTCAGATTAAGAAATAACTCCATTAACTGGTCAAGTAAACAAATGTAACAGAATGCAATTCTTTTAACAATTCTAAAACCATAACCGCTGAATCGAAAATCAAATAACCTCAGTTGAGCAAATGTAGACTCTACTATATGTACCTCAATGAAGATGGATTCTAAATCCAAAGCCGCAAACTGAACAGAGCCAATTCTCAAGCAAGCTTCTTCACTTTTCACCATTGCCATATCTCCGCTTAAAACACCGAATCGATCACAGAATAACACAAACACAGCTTTGATCGCCATCATATCTGACATCTTCTTCTTCACTGCAAAACAAAACAAGGATTCAGACAAATGACAATCCAACTCAAGAAGCTTGAATTGATCAAAGATCTTCATATCAAGAACCACAAGAACTTGGGCAATAAGGACTAACCTAGACTCAAATTCTCGGATCTCAGCAAGTTCTTTCCCCATCAAATCCACCCACTGTACCTTCTTCTTCTCCCTTCTCCCACCATCAGCTGAATCTAAAACTTCCTTTCTGAGACTACTTCTCAAGATTTCCCCATTAGTATGACCTTCTTCTTCTTCTTTTTTCACCTCTAGAGCTGCACAATCTTCTTCTCTATCCTCAGACAACAAAACATCCACATGATCAACAGCCTCTTCGTCTACATGTGCATCGTCGACATTATCATCATGATGATCACGATCATGAACAACAGTAGTAGAAGGAGACACTTGAGGAGGGGTGTTCTCCAATTTAAGAGAACCAGATGCGTAGATATGAGGAGAAGGCTTACAGAAACAGATGAAAGAAGGGCACTGGATCTTACACAGCAAAACCCTCATCAAAACATATATGTTTGGTCCTTAAAACACCCGATCATCAAATTCAAAACAACACCCCTCTCTGTTCTTGTCTTTATAACAAAGTTAGAAACTTTCTGTGCCCATTGATGTGCCCAGATTGAAAAAAACCAAAAAGCTTCAAGGCGAGCGACAAAAGAGTTGGAATTCTGAAACAACAAAAGGGTTTTTCAGAAGAAGAGTTAATAACCACAATATATATTATCCGACTTCGATAGAATCCAAAGACCATAAATTAAGCGTTGATCAGATGAGGAAGCAGACAAAAGTACAGGGACCACGCATTTGCTAATTACTAATTGCAAAAGAACAGATTCCTATTGAGAACAATCAGCCATGGCCATATAAGTGTGTCAAAGAATAAATATAAATTCAGAAAAAGGCATTTACTTTTTATGATTTCAATTTCTGTGAGAGACAAAGTTTTTTTTTTTTCTTTTTTCTCAGAGAAGAAAGAAGGAGAAGATAAAGTGGTTATTTAGTCCTGGAATTTTGCTTTTTCTCAGTGCCTCTAAAGGTGAAGTCTTTTTATTTATTTCCCTCGCTTAATCTCTTTATATATTATTGGATTCCCTTATTTGTTCACAATATATCATATATTTTTTTTTTTTTGATTTTTCTTAGATAATTACCAAGGATAATATATATTTCGATAACCTTTTTATTGGTTATCTTTATGACTTTATAGTTTTTAAAATTAGTTATTTACAAATTAGAAAATATATTTAAATGTTTACCAGTAACAACAAAAAGTTTCAACTTACAAATTTTGTTTACAAATCATCTATTTAGAAATATGCAGTGTGTGACTGTGTTTAGTAAACAAATCTTGATTTAATTATTCAGCAATAAATCTTGCAAAATTAAATATTTAATTGGATAACTCATGTCAAATCTAAATGATTAATGTTAATGGAATAAGTCATACGAAGTTTCTACGTGAAGGAGAAGTATCGATCAAAATTTTGATTTCTATGTATTTTTTTTTTTTCTATAGTTGACAAATCCAGATATGATCATCTAACATATGTATTTATATAGATGGTGTGATGTATCTATCAGGTCCACCAATTTTTTGCAAATCTCATATGTAATGTAGTAATGTAAATATACACAAAGGTATGTATAATATGAGTATAATGCGTGTGCCAAATATTAATGTATAGAGAATAATGATGCGACATAGGATGCTTCTGAGTTCTGACATATGTATATATTTCGAGATCAATCAAACTCAAAAGCCATGCAACTTGTCTCTTACACATGTGTGTGAGATTTGCTTATTATTGTGGAGACGTCAATCATATATATAAATTGGTCGGATACATTCCAAAGTTTACTTACCTCATCGACATCTAAAGCTAAAAAAACCCACAACAAAGCACTAAAAAGACTCTAAATCCTTTGTATAAATCCATCATCCATCATTGTTTAAACTTTCTAAACATTGGTGTTAGCTTGTCTTTTTGAAACCAAAAGAATATTATAGTATAGTTTACTTAAAACAACATTCGAAGCATTTAATGGGAAAGTAATGATTAAAGTTCTTTTTGTTTTTAGCTTTGTCCCTAAACTAAACAACAGGAGATCAAGTTTGGTCGACACAGAATCAATTAGAAAATTATCAAAAGTTTAGAGAGCTACATTCGAAGGGGAGCGTCAAAGCTGCTTTTGTTTATTCGAGAAACCTGAACAATCAATATGTGTGGCTGGCTAATACATATATGATATATACTTGAAAGTTGAAACACCCTAAGCTAGTTTTGAAATTGGTCTAATACATATGATTTTTGGACGTTCATCATCTTTCCATTTCAGTATTCCTTAATTACAATTCTAGAAAGCTTTGTTTTTGTGGATTAAATGAGAAAAATAATATAATATCTTAATAAAATACTATACATAAATAATGTAGGACATGAAGTTCGTTTTGTGAGCAAAAAAACAATAGGAAAAGGAAAAGAGTTTTTAAAGCGGTGGCGCATAAAACAATCATACCCTAGCTCCTTTATAAATACCAAGAGAGATCAAAAACGTTGCTAGGATCTGAAAAACGTGGAAGAAGGATGAGATTGTCGGAGCTTCCAGGGGATTTGGTAGGAGATATATTCTCTAGGGTTCCATTGGAATCTCTAATCGCAGTGCGATCCACTTGCAGAAAGTGGAACGAGTTATCCAAAAACCATATGTTGGGTAAAGCAACAAGGAAGCAGTTTAGAGGGTTCGTTATAATGGATTATAAGGTATGTTTCGTGACATTCGATCTCCAAGGAATCCGCTACGAAGCTAGTGAGTACGTTAGTCCATCTATCAAGGAAATAAGCGTACTTGATAAAGTGGAGGCATATAGAGTCTCTCACTGTGACGGCTTATTACTATGTGAAAGTGAAACCAAATTGGAGAACTCTAAGCTCGTGTTATGGAACCCGTATCTAGGGCAAACTAGCTGCGTCCAGGAAGGTCATGATATCTACAAACTAGATATGTATGCTCTCGGATACGACAACAACCGTAACCACAAAATCCTCAAGTTTGTCAATTTCTTCAGCATCACAAAGCCGAGTTATCCTTACAAAATCTACGAGTTTAGTTCTGATTCATGGAGGGATGTTTCTCTTCATGGAACTAAACCAAACTGGGATAGGTTGAATCCATGCTGCGTGTCTTTGAAAGGGAATACTTACTTTTTGGCTCGAAACTGGACAAGACACTTTTTACTCTGTTTTGACTTTACAGCAGAGAGATTCGGACAGCGTCTTTCTCTGCCTTTTAAATCCTCTGTTGATGATATTTTGACTCAGTCTTGTGTCAGAGAGGAGCAGCTCGCCGTGTTATGTCAACGCTCTGAGATGGATCCGTCTATTGGGATTTGGGTTACCAATATGATTGCTCCCAATGCGGTATCATGGAGCAAGTTTTTCAACGTTAATATCACGAGTGATCTTACTGGTTTTCCTGTTAAATTTCGAGCTGGAAGCTTCTTTATCGACGAGGAGGAGAAGGTCGCTGTGGTTTTCGATCTTGACGCATATGAAGAGTACAGGACTAGTTACTACCAAACAGCTCACATCATTGGACAAGATGGATACATTAAATCTGTGATTGGGGATGCTCAGGATCTTGGAGATTGTCGCCCACTTGTCTTCTCTTCTTATGTTCCAAGTTTAGTGCAACTTCAAATCAACCGCAAAAGGAAGGCTAGAGGTTATTATTAATCCATTTTACAATTACTTGATTTGTCTCTGGCTTCATCTCCGTTTGTTCCAATCATTGACTTTTATGTCTTCTCCAAATAAAATGTTATTCTTTTTTTTCTCTCTTTGGTTTTATGTTAAGTATCATGTAATAAATTAACTTGTGTTTTGCTATTTAGCACTTTTCAGCAGTTGGTCTCACTAGTTCAATACCCAACTTATCATCTTGTTTTACTTGCATCAATAAGAAAATTCTATTTTCAAGCTGATCATGTTATGAATAAGCTCATGTGGGAGTAGAGAGATGAGTTCGTAAGAAATTCATTTAGCGTGTTTTGTTTATAAAAGAAGCTTTAATGATATGATAGAATCCGACTATGACATTGTAGAAGAAGTCATCAGTTTCAGACTACAAATATTATAATGGTCTTCCCAAGAGTGGATAAGAGTTTTCCTTTACACTTCTACGCTGAAAGCTTCTTCATTGACGAATATAACTGTTTACTGCAATTACATAACAACTAGCTAGCCGGGAAATAGAAAAGAAAGAGATAAATGTTTATAACATACGAAATCAGATAACATGGAAACGATCGAACTTTTTTGTGCGTGTAGCGTATTATTTATCTGGTTCTGGTTTAGGCACTCATCAAGAATAAAAATATTTTCCTTGTTTTGCTATCTAATACGTCTGTTACACATCCTTCCTCCAATCTGTTGCTGCTGGAGAAATCACCAAAAAAAAAACAAAAGATAGAATGCTATAAAAGCTACAACATGCATTACCACTTTCGGCATAATTAAGAATTACTGCTGAACTTTCAGAACAGGAAAAGCAATCACGTCTCTTATACTAGCGGAGTTGGTCAGCAGCATCACCAGTCTGTCTATTCCAAGCCCCTAAGAGAAACAAAGTTACAATGGCAGTGAACCAATATAAGTACTTGAGCATAGATGGGTAGTCCGGTTCAGTGTGCAAACAAACACTAAACTAATGTTATACTATTACTCTAATTTGTATAGAAGAAATAAAATAGATAGAAGTACCATTCCCGAAGCCGGAGGCATTCCGTATTCCAGGGCAGTGAGAAAGTCTTCGTCAAGGGTCACCTCATATGACTCATCATCATCATCATCATCTTTCTTTGTGTTTGGTTCAGGAGATTCCGGTGCAGCCTCTGCTCTCTTTGCGTTATGCTGCCTTACTTGCTCTTCCAACCGCGTCCTCTACCATATTTACAGAAATCAATAATCATTCATGATCCAGTGTACACAAAGAAGACACAAAATTGCAATGTGAAAAGCTTTATTATCCCATTACCTGGTCCACTGGATCAGTCAATTCAGAGAATGCATTTGCCATTTCACGGCCACATATGAACAGCTCAAATCTTTCTGTCAAAACTGCATTGCTGTTACAGAAAAAAAAAAGCTATTTACACTTGGAAAAAGATTTCATAACATAAAGATAAATGTTCTAGAAGATGGTGACACTATTGGGAGAAAAGGTAAAAATCGAGTCAACAGAGCTCTAGTAACAACTTTACCTGCGATGTGGCTTGGCCAAAGGAGAAATTTCGATTGGGTAGTCCAAGACAAATGTGGGTTGCACAAGCTTTGGCTCTACTACAACTTCAAAAACCTGAAAACGTGAATTGATTTCAGCAAATAAAGTTACAGATTTGATAGTAAGGTCAACTGAAGAAGCTTCACCTCATTAAGAAGATGGCCTAGGGAAGAGCAAGCTCTGATTCCAGATTTGTCCTTGGGCTCAAGCACATCTTTGAGTGCCAGCAGAACTGTGTCTTTGGCATTTCCAATATCTACCCCTAGCTCACTGAAATCGATTCCTGTTATCTCTTTAACGAGATTATGCATGGTTTCTCTCCTCCAAGGCCGCTCGAGGCAGATTTCTGTTCCCTGCACAGAGCAACCACAGCTCAGTCTCTCCAAACTTCACAACCAACATAGAGTTTAGATGTGTTTATCTCCACACACTAGCTGTGATGCCAGAGCATATTCACCTGGTAATCAATTGTTAGCTTCCCATGAACTGCCATTGCACATTGAGTGACGATTAATTCTGCCATGTCCATCATGCTCTGGTAGTCCGAATAAGCTTCATACATCTAAACAAAGCTAAAAATGTTATGGATCAGGGTACCATTAAGGAGTTTGGAAGCCCAAGTGATGCATATGTTTGAGGAGAAGGCATATTTAAACTACCTCGATTGTTGTAAATTCAGGATTGTGCCGTGTCGAAATGCCTTCGTTTCTAAATATACGACCAATTTCATACACTTTCTCAAACCCACCAACCTGTGATGACAAAATGAAATCTATTTAGAGACAACATTTACCTTTCATACATATCTGAGGTAGAGGTAATCTATCACCTAAAAGTGGCCAGGTCATACAAAAGAAAGATAACAAGAAGAACAGAAAACGCCAAGAGATTTAGAGATAAGATGAATCTGACCAGCATTCTCTTCAAGTGAAGCTCAGTTGCAATCCTCAGGTAGAGATCCCTCCCAAGTGAGTTATGAAACGTTACAAAAGGTCTTGCTTCAGCTCCACCAGCTGCTCCCTAGTTTTCACAAGTTCATCAAACCGACTCCCATACAAAAATTCAATACTGGGTGAACATTTTGAGAATGATAGTAGGCCACAAACCTGAAGAACTGGAGTTTCAACCTCCAAATATCCAAAGGACTCAACTGTCTTGCGTATCTCTGAAACGATCTACTACAACAAAACAGAAGAAGAGTATCGTTGATCTGTAAAAATTAAAATAACTCCAACAATCTTAAATGAGTGTCAACTGAAAAAGTCGTCGATTGATACATCGTGAGGTAATCATTTTGATAACCTACTTTTGCCCTTCTCCGGAATACATCAGCTACTTCAGGATTAGCAATCATATCAACATACCTAGTAAGAAACACAGTAAGCATAAACCAAATAAAACTTACAGACTTTCTTTTTAAGAATTAGACCCACCGATATACAAAGAGGGAAGACAGAGCTCACCGTTGGCGGTAACGTTTATCAATATCAGTTAGACCATGGTATTTGTCTGGCAGCGGAAGGAGAGATTTGGTGAGAACTGAAAAAGAATTCAAACATATAGAAAGCTCCCCTGGAAAGTTCAATGACCAAAACAGTTAGTAAAAAACAATACTTCTCAATCGAGATTAATCATCTTATTCGAGTTCCACCTTTCTCAGTCCTCTTCATTGATCCACTAGCACCCAAAATATCACCAATATCGACAAATGCCTTCAACTGTTCAAACTGATCATCTGAAAGCCTTTCCTTCTCACAGTAGAGCTGCAAATATCAGGAGATGAAAATAGAAAGGGCAGTTAAACGATTGTTTTGAGGAGGAAATACCAAAGCCAGCTGCTAATGAAATGAAAACAAATCCATCTAAACAATAGAAGAAGACTAAAACCTGAATGGTTCCAGAGTCATCCCTCAGAGTCAAGAATGCAAGTTTCCCAAACGCTCTACGAGCAACGACTCTGCCGGCAACAGAAACGCGATCACTCTCATTGTCTGATTCGTCACCATTAGCTAAATGCTTATATATCTCTTGAAGCTGATTTGCACTGTGAGTTTTTTCCCACTTATAAGCATACGGTTCAAGACCTTGACCTCTCAGTTCTTCAACCTATGAATCAAAAACATTGATCAGAACCCAATTCCTAGCTCACATATTTCCAAGACGAAATTTAATCAAAAGCTCAGATATTTGAAAGAAATTAAACCTTTTTAAGGCGAATGGAGCGGATAGCTTCACGATCAGAGGTGGAATTGGAAGAGGAAGCGGACCGGCGGTTGCGACTGGATGGTTTAGAAGTTTCAGCTGCCGTGGCATTTGAAGAAGAAGCTGCTGCGGCACATCGGAGCACCGGTGATAAATGATAGGATCTTCTTCCATAAATTGTACTAGCAAGACGCGTAGAGGAAGAAGATAGACGGAGTAACTGCTTCAATGGCGTCGCCGTTAGACTCCATACCTTAAGTGCCTCCATATCTATCTCTTTCTCTCTTTGTTTCTCGACTAGTGCTGCTCTGGATAGGTGGAAGAAGAAGATTATTGGATTGGGCTTTGAGTTTTGGACACTTAAAAAGTTAAAACCCTAAGAAATATTTTTTGTTGGGCTTTTGATTTTCTGAAATTTAGAATCTGGTATGTGTTTTTTTAGGTATATAAATCTGTTCTTTTTTATGGAAATAATAATGATCAAATTTGTAGTGTATCTGATGGTTATAATTGTTTTGGCAGTTAAATATATATCAAGTGTTTAATAAATATTGTAATAGATAAATAGAGAAACAAATATGTAAAATTTTGGTTTATTACTTTTCCTTTTTGTAAAAGACTAATGTAAATGAATATTTTGCTTTGATCCAAAGCTCAAATGACGTGTAGAGAAAGAAAACAAATGATATATGTAACAAGCTTCAAGACTATAAAGAAGGAAGTCAAAACTCAAAAGTCAAAATTTATAAACCAGCTAGTTCGGTAAAGAAGAAGGGTTTAGAGAGAGATAGGTTTTGTTGGGTTGGCGATGGTGTTTAACAGCTCGGCGATGGTGACGGTGGCGAGCGTTTCCACGGACAAGTTGCAGCGGATGAGGGGTGTTCCGTCGTCGGAGTTGATGAATACCCAACAGCTTATGGAGGTTGCTTGTTGCCTCCCTCTTTGTCATTTTGTTATCTTCCTATGGGAGTTTTTTTGTTTCCCCATATACGATTCTGATGATGATTATAATGATTATGGTTATGGTGATCATGATGATGATGATGATATTGTTGATGATTACGATGTGCTTGCTTTTGATCATAATAATAACGGTGATTATGATCATCATGGGTCTTCTTCGGATTTTGATGATAGTTACCATTACTCGGACTCGAGTTAATCATAATTAGACTAGATGACTTCTGCTTTTTTTTTTATTATTAGTTTCTGATTTTTTCGGTATTGTACTTGTCTTAGCTAACTAGGTGTATAATCCTAATTGTTCCATAATTTGGTATTCTTTGGATGCTGTAAATTTATTCTTGGATATTCAATAACAAAATCAGATTATATGTTTAGATTTTCATTTTCGAGCAAAAGTAACTAGCCGTGATTCTTAAGATGATCCTAATGTTTCGTTATACAAAAGTACTTCTTCAATATTGTCCAAATTGTGTTATCTTTCTTGTTATTTGTTGGTTAAACATTGTTTCTTTGTCAACATTGTTGAGTTAATGTGTACGCTTCGGGAGAATTTTATTTTTATATATATTTTTGAATCAGTTGCATCTCGGAGGACACCAAGAATATTCAGTTTTATTTTATTTTTTTTTGGACAAACATTTTCAGTTTTATTAAGAACATGAATCATTCTCCAAGCAATTACGTCATGTCCAAGACAATGATCTGCCTCTTTTGCTACTTGAAAGCTGGATTTGCTGAGTTTAGGTTGTGATCACAATTTCAGTGGATAAGTTTTACACCTCTTTATCTCTGTCCAAAACTCTTTTGGAATTGTTTCACAAATTCAATTGGTTTATGATTTGTCAACATTATAGCAGCTTAAGTAGTTAGTTTATTGATTCTTATATATGGGCCGAGCTTTACCAGGCCGGAATGGTGGACAGTTTCTAGGTAGCGGATATTTTATTTTGGTCATTACATTTTTATCTTGGGTTTGGTCTGACTCTGTCTTTAAAAAAAAAAAAAATGAAAACTGGCATTGAGCGTAGGTCATATTCGATTTCTTAGTTTGGATGTGTGTACTGAAACTACTGATGGTGTTATAATTACATTGCATGACATTTTCCAAGACATATAGGAACAAGCCAAAACTGGATTCAAGGCATCTCTAATGATTCTTTCTAATAATTCAACTAAAAAAGAAGAAGTGAAAAGTTACATTTGTTTTCACACGAATCACGATCATGTCAGGCATACATTTGTACTACCGTCTCTCTATATAAATTATTAATACAGCCATTGGTTAATAATATTGTACGTACTATGATACTATAATGATATCTTTCTCTCATTTTTGTACTCTCCAAGAATCTATCGAATGTTAACCTATGGATTAGAAACGTTCAAATCATTTCTTCACCTCTGTATCAATCAGAGTTAGTTTTGTGGATATATATATCACTTTCCACATATTCTAAAATGCTTATATATGAATTTTGATATAAGAAGGATCCATACGAATACGATACAATTAGTGTTGCGTTTTGAATAGTGGAGGGATCAACATGTATATCCAATAATGGAGTATTCATTAAACAGAGGATATAAAGGGGGATACGGTAAGAAAAGCTCGGTGGCTCCACCTCCTTTCGTGTGGTCTTTACCATCATGTCATCAACTTACTTTTTCCCCATTATATAAAATCTCTATGGCTCCATACAATCAAATTATTTTACTTGCTTTCCTCTCTACTTTAATCATGCATACATACCCTATCATAAACGTTGTGTTGTGGCGTTTATTGCAATGTTAACTTTTGGATAGATACATAGATAGCCTTTTGCTTTTACCGAAATTGCGGACTAGGCTTGTCTTAAACCCATCCGTACTAGTCAAGATATAGATAGATTCGGGGATGGTTACGTTGTTCTAATTAAGTAGGTACATACTAACTATATGGGAAAATAAATGATATTATTATATAGGTCATATACATATTACACCATGTGCCTTTTACAATAAATCTCTCGGCACATGAATCTTTCAAGTCATTGGGTCTTCTTTTTGTAATAACTAAATGAACTAAACCTAAGTGCATTTAGCCACTAGAATATTAGGTGACGTAAATCCAAAACCTATGAGTACATTAGTCAGTTTTCTAAATCTAAAGGAGACTTCCTAAACTAACTAAAAAGGAAATAATTACTATTATATATATTTCATTTTCTTTTAATTTCCAACTCTTCTTGTTTGTCAATGACGATGCCACGTGCTTCAATAAATCTTATAAAATGGAGTCCCCCAAATTTGTTCCTAAACAATGTTGTCTTCTTCTTTAGTTTAGCACCGCCACACCTACGTACCCAGGCGACAGCCCCCATCACCATGCGTGGCGATTCATACGTGAATTTGTCATCTATAGGGTTTGATCTAACATGGTCATGTAAATCAATTAATTGAGATGTTAATGCGCCATGTGTCATGTGATGTAATAGTTGAATGTATAATGTAACTTATGCGGTGGTAGCTTTACATGTATATTCATTCACACGTGTTTGTAACTACGTGACCTTGCAATGCCTGCCTTAACCAAATGACATTGCAAATCTAGTTTCTATCTACGCACGAGAAGATATGCATTTAAACGAATGAAAAGGAAAGCATTTTGGCTTTCTAATATAATGGAGTTAATTTTTAAATTAATACTTTCTGTGTTTCATAAAAAATGTTAATTTCACAAAAATGTCATTTTACAGTTTTATTTTTGTGTCTATTTACAATTCCAATGCATATTTTACACTAAATTTCATAACTTTTACTATTAATTTAAAACTAATCAAACCCATAATATATTAAATAGAGGCATATGTGTATATTTTAATATTTTCTTAATTTGTGTGAAATATGTTAAAATGACACTAAACAAATGGAGTATTTATTTTAGTCTCCTTTCGTAACTCTCGTAGAGTAAGTAAACGATAATGATTTTAAAGTTTAACTAAGAATGCAGATTTTATGATAATAAAAGCATAACTGCAAATTATAAAATTTGAATGGACAAAAAAGACCAATAAGTCTCTACACATTAATGATTTTTTTTTTTACCCTAAAGAGAGTATAGATAATTTGGTAGAGAGAGATCGAGCAAGTCCTCTTTAATACGGACCCAACTAATTTCACATTGGATTCTACAAAGTTTGAGTTTTTGACCGTTAGCTAGATTCTCCTCTCCTATATCCCATTTCATCATCCATACCTCTTTGTGATTATTGCCTTCTTCTTGTTCAGTAGTGGCGATGACCTGAACCGTGTACGTACGGCGAAATTCATGATGCAACTTCTTGCACGTGTGAGTGAGTTTTTGCCTACATAGACACGTTACGTGCGATGCTACTAGACCACCACTAGTTACTACCAGCTAGCTGTCACCATATCAGAAGCGTGTCCTAACCACGGCTGGGAGAATTAACGACGTTTTAGTCAAGGTTTTTTAACGCTCAGTTTTTTTGTTTTCTCACCGTTTACGTTCCATTTGCTATTATGAAATAGAAAACTACCGTAACACCCTTGTTTGGTTTCCAAGGGGAAAACAACATTTTAGCATCCATCGAGAAGGGGGCAAAACAGGGACATTTGGGAGGATTAATGTGGGTGGAGGAGAGAGCCCCAAGGTTCTGTTCTCTTCAAACCACAAACACCACGTGACAGACCAATACTCAAACAAAAAAGTATAGACCAATTTGGGAAAACTATACTACATTTTATAATCCTCCTAGTTTTAAAATAACAAAGAAGCACCTAATTGGATGGTTAATATGTATTTTGGTGCTATGGACAACATTTGCTTAACAAATAAAAACCAAATCAAAAGCAAATTAAAATAATTGCTATTGACTAAATGAAAAGTAAGCTAAATCTGTAATCATGATATTAAGTATTAACTAATTAAGGTGGGGGGGGGGGCATGGGAGCGAGAAAGTGAGAAAAAAGAAAGAAAGAGAGAGAGAAAGAGAGAGCTTCCACTATCTCACTATCTCTCTCATTCAAAGCAAGGGAAGAGATAGAGAGAGAGAGAGAGAGAGAGAGATGAGAACTGAGAAAGTTTTGATTTTGATATGTATGGTTGGATTTTTCTGAGACCCACCTCCCAAACTTGTCCCCACGAACACCATTATCATTGTTTTGTTTGAACTTCTTCTCGTTTAGGGGTTTCTTCTGTTTCTCATTGGCTCTTGACTCTTGAGGTTTTCTTATAGTTTAGACCTTTGTGTGTGTGAATCTCACCGAAAGCGAGGTTCTTTTGTCTTTGGTGTTTCTGGGTTATTGCGACAATGGGAGCTCTGCATTTTAGCTTGGTGAAACTGAGTAGAGGTTTCTTTGTGTGTTTATGGCTGTGGGGGATGCTCTCGCTATCATGCGCAGCCGCGAGGTATGGCGCTTCAAGGCAGAAGTTTGAGGTTAAGAAGCACTTGAATAGGCTGAACAAACCTGCTGTTAAGAGCATTCAGGTTCGAATTCTCTCTCTTTTTTTTTCTACTAGTTTGTGTTTTCTCTGCTTTGAGTTAAATGATGTCCATCTGGTGATTCATGTTTTCTCTCTCCTCTTTCATGATGATTTTGACTAGCTTTTTGTATGTTAATTGGCACAACCATGAAGGATTCTCTCATTCTGTGTCTACACCATAGTGTTTTAGTAGGAACTGTTCATCAGTTAATGCTGCATAAATCATTAGTCTTGAAGTTTCTTCCTTATACTTTCGTCAAAATTTACTGTCAAGTAGTGAGTTCTTATAGTTACTTGAATTTTCTTCTTCTTTGTGGCTAAACAGAGCCCAGATGGAGATATAATCGACTGTGTTCCTATCTCAAAGCAGCCAGCTTTTGACCACCCTTTCCTTAAAGATCACAAGATTCAGGTCCAGTGGATAAAAAACTAATGATTTGGATAACTTTGTTGAGATGTTTTGTTCCAGTGCTGATTTTTGGTTATTTGGTCTGTTCAGATGAGGCCTAGTTACCATCCTGAAGGGATCTTTGATGACAGTAAGGTTTCTGCAAAACCAAAGGGGAAAGAAACTCACATCCCTCAGTTGTGGCACCGGTATGGCAAATGTTCTGAAGGAACCATTCCCATGAGGAGGACAAAGGAAGATGATGTGCTGAGAGCAAGTTCAGTTAAAAGATACGGCAAGAAGAAGCGTAGAACTGTTCCTCTTCCTAAATCTGCGGAACCTGACCTCATCAACCAAAATGGTCATCAGGTGAGGGATATCAGAAATGCGTCATTTGTTTTTACACTTCTTGAGTAGCTTTGTTTGGTCTGAGACATTTTGTTGTAACTAAGTTTTTGTTTCTTTAATCTTTTGAATGAGATTAGCACGCCATAGCTTATGTGGAAGGAGATAAATACTACGGAGCTAAGGCGACTTTGAATGTGTGGGAGCCAAAGATACAGCACACAAATGAATTCAGCTTGTCGCAGATATGGCTTTTGGGTGGTTCTTTTGGACAAGATCTTAACAGCATTGAAGCTGGTTGGCAGGTAAAGACATTGACATCATTTAAAGTTTTGAAGATGACTTGTGCAATTTGTTTGTTGTTTTTATTTGTTGTGCTTTCAACAGGTGAGTCCGGATCTCTATGGAGACAATAACACAAGACTCTTCACTTATTGGACTGTAAGATTTCAAAACCCCATTCGAATTGATATTTGTGGTGTATGTATAATATAGAATGATGTTCTTATGTTGCTCAATCATTCTTGCTGCAGAGTGATGCCTACCAAGCTACTGGTTGCTACAATCTTCTCTGCTCAGGTTTTATTCAAATCAACAGTGACATAGCAATGGGAGCAAGCATCTCACCAGTCTCTGGATATCGTAATTCCCAATACGATATCAGTATTCTAATTTGGAAGGTACCTTTGTCATAACTGCAATCTTTTTTTCTCTGAAGAAAAAGTGAAACCTTGATGCTGAATGTATTATGTTTAACTTGTCACAGGATCCAAAGGAGGGACATTGGTGGATGCAATTTGGGAATGGGTATGTCTTGGGATATTGGCCATCATTTCTCTTCTCCTACCTAACAGAGAGTGCGTCGATGATCGAATGGGGAGGAGAAGTTGTGAACTCGCAGTCAGATGGTCACCACACTTGGACACAGATGGGAAGCGGTCATTTCCCAGAAGAAGGGTTCAGCAAAGCAAGTTACTTTCGAAACATCCAAGTCGTTGATGGATCCAACAACCTCAAAGCACCAAAAGGACTTGGGACGTTCACCGAGAAATCTAACTGTTATGATGTACAAACCGGAAGCAATGATGACTGGGGACATTACTTCTACTACGGTGGTCCTGGTAAGAACAAGAACTGCCCATAACCAAGGCATGTGTGTAGTATGTACTCAGATTTATCTCTCTTTCAGTCTTGTGAAATTCTTCCTTGTGTAGTAGTAGGCTGTAGTAAACAAAAAAACAAAAAAATCAAATAGTAGTAAACTGCGTAAGCTCTCTAGGTGATGGGGAAGTTTTGAGTTTTGTCTGTTTATTTAACTTAATGACAAGGTGTTTGTTTGTAGTACTCTCCATGTAAGTAGATGGGGGAAAAAAGTAGGTGTGACTCTATGTAAGTTCTCAAAGAAGCTTTATCCCTTGGTATAATTTCACATCGTCTCTCCTTGGAATGTCTCCTCTTTGATCACTCATTCCTTCCTTGATCAGAAAACTCGATTACTGAGTCGCCTCTTAATGCTTTGTGTTGCGTCCAATCCTCTTGCTCTCAACTCCTAACACTGAACAAAAAAAAAGGAAAGTTACTGGAAATTGAGTAGTAGTTTAGTTAAACAGGAAGTTCCTTTCTTCAAATTCATACAACTAACTAATCACTCTTCCATCGCAAAGCACACTAATCTCTCGACCTTTTATATATATGGAGAACTCAGACGCCAAACATTGCTCTTGAAATAGATCACAAGTGCACAAAAAAGGTGGTAAAATCTGTAAAAAGCTTGTGTTTACATTTTACAACCACACAACTTTCTGGTTTTCCATATAATCAATCATAGAAACATTAACAGTCTCAATTCTTTGATAGAAAACATCAAACATGACTCAAATCCATGTGGGCTAAGATGATTTATATATGGGCTTGGGCTTGTAAAACCACTATATATATTCTCCAAAATTTGGCCTCTTTTATTAGCTCTATATGTCTTCGTTTCTTTTTCTTGCTCCTTAGTCAAGATTGTTTGTCCTAAACACGGTTGGTTTGGTAATTTCTGATAATATCGTCGCTACATCACAGTCCCAGTTTCAATTTTTGCATAATACGATGTTATCAACAAAAATGCATTTTTTCTGAACCACAACAAAAAAAAAATCCGCCAAAATCAACTATATATACTCTTTCGATGTTATTTTTAATCTTTCGACCAATATTTAACTTTCAAAGTAATGCTGTATGCCTGCATATGAAATGATTCTCGTAGGGGTTATTTTGAGATCACGTTAGATAAATTTTCAGCCAAAGTGACGTTACAGCAAACTTCACCCAAACAAAATTATGTATTCTGGAATTGTCATCATTCTAGATATAATGTTTGATCTGCTATATGTACAGTATAATCCTCTCAAAATAGTAAAGTTTCACGTAACAAAAAATTATACACTGTTTTTTTTTTTTTTTTAAGACAGCCAGATAAGCAACAAAATTCAAATTCCACCAACGTTCCATTTTCAAAGTTAAAAAGAAAAGTGAACGAAAACAATGTTAAAAGCTTGTAATCATCATCATGCACAGGTTCGCTAAAGTTTTCTACAAAAACAAAAATGAAAGAGACGTGATATATCTTTTTTCTTATCAGATATGTTTCGAGGTTCCTTCTTCTATTCAAACTAATATACATCATAGCATTTTAATTTCATGAATATTTATACTATATTGTAAACATACAAAGCATGGTTGCGTGGGAAGTCTATCAATTGGGACAAGGCCCAGTTGGTTTACCTGGTAGTCAAAAATGCAGGCGGCCTGACTACCCCCTGATATTAGTCGGAAAGCATTCCAAACTCGGGATAGACAGTGTGGTGGCCCTTCGGGGAGAAGTCCACTCTGAAGCACTTCGGTGCGTTTCTAGCAGGGCTGACCGGATCAGTCGATAGGGTTTATCAAAAAAAAAAAAAACATACAAAGCACAGTGAAAAGAAAAGAGCCCACTCATTTTGTTTTGGAACTTGGGAAAAAAACAACAATTAGTTTCATTGGTTTGGAAGGGCCAAATTGGTAGTGAAACCCCATGCTTATAATAATAATGCATGCATGTTTTGTTTGGGGTAATCAAGCTTTCCGGCTATATATAGATTCTGTACTGTTTAATGAAAGAAAAACAAATATATAAGCCGTTTCAATATCTAAGAGAGACTACTCATGATTTTTTGAAACAAAACAAATGGCCGACATATAAAATTAGAAAGAAAAATTAAAAATCAAAGAGGTGTGAAAAAAGGATCTTGGGAAAGGGAGGGTAGTTGGTCATTTTCATAGTTTGGTATGATATGAAATTCTTGTGAACGTTAGGGAAAAGCATTATCATTGATTTCAACGAAGAAGACTCTTTAAAGGGCTAAAACGGCTAATTGATCCTTTAGTTACGCAATTAACTTTAGAATACTCCCATCAGAAATTACATAACCTACAAGGACAAAAAAATACAATAGCCAAAGATGTTGATCTCAAGATCTTAGTTTTGAGTGTGCATACACCATCATCTTTAGATTCACGAATCATGAGTCAACACAAAGATACCCATTCTTGTTAAACTATTCTTTTCCATATTAAGAACTAATTTCAAAACGTAGATATCATAACTCATAAGTGCATTTTATATTATTATATAAAAGCTCGATCGATACAATGTATTATGTAAACAAAGGTTATTATACATTAAAAAATGGAACACATATTACATTTGTTTACCAGTTGTATTTTTAACCATATTAGAAGAAGACCATATCTGAATCAAAGAACAACATCTTCTAGAATCTAAAAACACACTAAAGAAGAAGAAAACTCCACACGAAGGCTACACGCAGTTAACCTATATTCAAAGCAAATCTTTTGGTCTAATCTACCGTATGAATTAGAGAAACAGTATGTTTTACTATAGTCTATACAATAAAACACAGAATAAAGACATTTTAGTAATGAAATGAGTGGTGGTGAGGTTGTAAAGAAAGAACAGAGTGGTTGAGAAAGACAACAATGTAGTCTGGGCCAAGAGACAGCCAATCTCTGCCAGCTGCTTAAACTATTTGGACAACCTGTTTTGTTTCTTTCTTATTCAAAAGAATAATATTCACACATTTACATATCGATACATATTTTTGAAAAAAAAGTGATTCATATCCTAATTAGATAGTTAAATCACCGGAAGCTAATTATAAGTAATATGTACAATGTATATAGAACAAAAAAAAAATTGATGTAGATGCAAGAAAAATGCTATAGAAACACTAATTAATTTGGCCTAGTCGGTGTCTATAATCTCCATTCACACCAATACGTCCATTAATCCCGCAATTACTTACTTTAAGACATCCATTAAAATACACATATATATAATTGTTAGACTTTGTTGTTATCGTTATTTTCTTTGCTGTAATTCAGATACCTTTTCCTTTACTAAAAAGTTAAGTTGATGAACATATTTTAAAGAGACGTCTCTAGAAACAACAACATTCTCACAGAATTGGCTTATAAATACCCTTTCAAAACAACACACAACTCATTATTCGCACCAAAGAGAAAGAAGCATAAAACAACAGCCCTCATCATCACAATAAATTCTAATTGACTTAAGTTTCTTTTCAAGTGAAAAAGAAGAGAAAAATGGAGTCAATGAAGATGAAGCTTATGGTGGTGTTGATGGTGGCTATTGTGGCTTTCTCCGCAGTAGGAAAGGCGTCAGCGCAGACCGAGGCTCCGGCTCCAAGTCCTACATCCGATGCTGCTGCTATGTTCGTCCCAGCATTGTTTGCATCTGTTGCTGCTTTGGCATCTGGCTTTCTCTTCTAAACCAAAAACCTCTACATTCCATAGAGTTTATAGGTTTTTTTTTTTCTTTAAAATTGTTTTTGCCTGTTTATTTGATCGCCACGAGCTTCATGTTATTGTTTCTAATATTATTTGGACTACCATAATAGTATTTTTATAAGTTTTAATTTAACCTTCGGGTTTTTTATTGTAATTGCTTTGGTGTTTGTGCGTGCATATGTTTTGATAATTAATACGATATCTGTTTATGGATTGATCATTGATCTTTTGAGAAAACATAAGATGCAATACAAGATATAAAGTCCACACAAATTCTTCGAACCTCTCATATCTGCGAGTGGTATGATCAGTGATCCGATGAGCTGTGAAATTTTGGAAGGTTGTGTGGTAAACTTGTAATTATCATCAATATTATCAAGACCATTACAGAAAAACAAAAATCTAGCCAGAGGGGAACTACTTTTCACACAAAATACAAAGAGAAAATTGTGGGCACAACACAATAAAGCTCCAAAGTGAGGCAAGAAGGAGAAGAGGAACATGTTGCAACCTTGATTGCATCAAACATGCAATATTCAAACTCAAAAGGTGAAAATCAAATATACTACTTTATGTTAAGCATTACGTTTTACATAGTAAAGGCTAAGTTTAGATGAATATAACAATTACTAATTTAGCTAATACCTAGAGGAGATTCTCATAAAGGCAAATCAGGTTAACTTGACAGCGGTTAAGTTTCAGAGCAACCTAACATAAGCCACCCATTGATTAAGTAATAAACAAAAAATTATTTTCTTAGAGAGTATATATATATAGCATGGGATGGTATATCAGACAAGAACATGTTAAAGCCATGTGAGATGCATAGAAGCAAAGTGGTCAGCAGCAAGAATGGGACCATCATCACCTCAGCTTTTTTTTTTTTTTGGTATTATTTATAAATTTTGGTCTGTCTTTGATGAAGTCCCAAAAAGCTTTTATAAGTGGCCGCCACTTTGTTTTCATTTGATGAATTTTCAACTTCTTTCCATAAAGTTCTCTCTCTCTCTCTCTCTCTCTCTCTCTAGCTATATTGATATTCATTGATTAGCAAGAAACATATATAAAACCTTTCTCTCCATATAAATATATGTCTTTACGGCCTGCGAATCAAAAGAACAATGGATGATGACGCACACAATCTTGATGGAAAGCCAATCATCATCTTAAGCAGCCAACACTAAAGTTGTGTATAACTTAACACATAAGATACTGAGAACACCTCTACTAGTCTCTATTATTATGTTTTTTGTGTGTGTGTGTGTGTGTGTGTGTGTTTATATATATACCGTTTTAGATAAAACAAAACGTAAAAAGTTTGGGTTATGAACTTTCGATGACTAAAATTGGGCAAGTCTATATGTCTCATGTTTAAAATTTCACATAGTAATGGGCCAAGATAAAAGGGTCAAGGCCCATACAAACGAGTCAACGATGAGGATGACCTAGCACGAGACCTATATAAATAAGATGTTCCCACTGCGAACCCTAATTAAGGAGCTACCCTTTCTTTTTCCTTCGATTCAGTTCAAAAATTGTTAGCTTCTTTCTTTTTGGTTTTTCTCAAATTTTGAGGTATAATGGTGCAGTGATGATGGGTTATAATCTCGTTAATCTGATATTTTGCTGAAGAGACTTACGTCCCAACCATTCATTATATATCTGAGCACCTTAATCTTTCAAGTTTATACTGTTTTTTATTCTCCATTCAGAATTATATATATAAATCGCACATAGTTCTTCTTCGATTCCTTTAGATTCGCTCTAAGCATGGTTTCGAGGATTTTATTTGTGCGTATAGTAAAATGATCCTATCTGCTTGAGTACTCTCTCTGTTATGTGTTAACTATTTATAGAGTTATGCTCCAATGTTATAGGATCACATTTTGCTTTTTCTGCTAAACTTTGCTACTCTGATCACACTATACACTGCTGGTTCTTCCGAGGACATTTCTGAACGGACGAGATTGAACTGAATTATGAGCAATGGGCTATAACTGTGGAAAGATATGGATGAGCTGCAATGGGACTTGTTACAATTCTGAAACCAGTTTATTCAATTGCATTAGATTAACGATTACTTTGGGAATTGAGCAACATATAAATCACATATATTCCAATAACTAAAGCACTCTAATTAGTTCAATTCCGGGAAATAAACTCCATGTCCATTAGGGCATCATTATCCCTATAATCGATCGGGGCTTACACTAATATTAAAAGCCCAGAAATTGAAAACAGTAAAAATGGAAGGACCATCCAGATGCTACTCAAGATCTTTTTCGACTCGCTACTTATGCAACGTGGCACACGTTGATAGGCTAAAAAAAGAAATAAACGAAACGATATAATTTTTTTCTGTTTTGTCAAAAAGAAAAATAAACCCCCAAATCGATTCTCCTCTCTAAAACCCTAGATGGAGAGATTGAAACGAGGAAGGATTTCTGGGTTTGGTATGATTTTTCTTTTCCTTGTGAGATTTGAAAGTTTCAATTTTTATTTGTGATCATCTTTCTGGATTTTGGGGGGGTTGGGTTACTTCTCTGTTTTCTTGTAGAAGTCACATGTTGCTAAAGTCTCTGAGTTTCACAGAGAAGGGAACGACTGGTACATACTTCTTCTCTTCTTCCTTCTTTACTTGCATGTATGTGTGTGTTGTTTATGCGATTTAAGTTCATGGGTTGTGTCCTAACTTCATTCAATTGTTCTAATTTATGATGTCGGTAGCTCAGAGACCTTAAAGTTTGCAGCTTTATTTACAATTCTTTACTTGTCATATCAGTTTTAAAGATGCTCAAAGAGAATAACTTAACCCAATTTGGATCCTAATATGGAAGATAAGCTATGATTAGATTAGTACATAAGATGAGATTTTGTACTTTGGAAACATTAAAGAGAGCTTTGGATTGTTGTAGCATGATTCATATGTTATCTCTGTCTCACACTCACCTATACAAAGATAGTCCTATTGTAGTAACATAGACAGATTCTCAGTTTCTTAATTTCTCCTCCATCACCTGGTTTTAACTTGTACAATTTGGTAAAACGTGTTTTTCTTTTGTATGGATTTCCACAGGAACCTATTGCTAGTGATGTTGTTATGAAGCTTTTGGCGAAATGTAGCTCTGAACAGATCGCTATGATTGTTGATATGGTTACTCAGGAGCAGTCTCAGTTTGTTAACATATGCTATGAATCACTTGGGTACGTATGGTTACATACTTTATGATTCTTGTTGTTTAGGTTGAAAATTGTTGTTGTAGTTTTTGTAACAATAATGTCTCTTTGTTTGTTTTGGTGATATCAGAAGTGCGGCGATAGAGTTGTTGTTGTTGAACATTTACCTTCGTTGTGGGGATGAACAAGTCTCGCATATGGTGGCAACTATAAGCTCTGCAGATATAGTTGTGATGTTGTAGTTCCTGATTTCCGTGGAGATGGTAGATGTGTTGAAAAGGTTTCCAAGTTAGGGCTTGACGTCTTTGCCCACAACATTGAGACATTTGAAGAGCTTCAGAGTTCTGTGCGGGATCATCGTGCTAACTTCAAACAGTCTCTGGATGTGCTTAGGATGGCTAAGGACCATGCACATGCAGGCACCCTAACAAAGACCTATGTAATGCTGGGATGTGGAGAGACCCCTGATCAAGTGGTCAAGACAATGGAGAAGGTGAGAGCAGCAGGGGTTGACGTTATGACTTTTGGCCAATATATGCGACCCTCTAAGCGGCACATGCCAGTAGCTGAGTATGTGACACCAAAGGCCTTTGAGAGGTATCAGCTTCTTGGCATGGAAATGATATTGGTCCTTTCCTTGTTTAAGTTTTTATTAGCTGAGTTATATAATGGGAACGAAAGCTAACTGGAATGGGTTGGTGTTAAACAGGGATTCATGTATATAGCATCAGGGCCAATGGTGAGGTCTTCATACAAAGCAGGAGAGTACTACATAAAGTCGATGATAGACGCTGATCGAGTTGCTTCTCCTTCTACTTCCCCGTAGATACTCAAGCAAGATTACACAATCGTATGTGAATTCTTTCACTTTATTGCTTTGTTTTTTTCCTACGGTTTATCCACAACATTCTCAATAATGGTGAGAAAATGTAATACTATCATCCTCCAGTATCAAATGTGTGTCTAGTTTCTCTCTTTCTCATACTATCATCTGAAATTTAAGAATTTTATGTTTATTTTTATGTTTTCAATTTAAAAGTTTATTTTTATAGTTTTAAATTTTTAAAATTTTTTACATTATAAAATTATAAAATTCTTAAGATTCAAGAGATTTAACCAATAACTAACTCAAAAGCTTTGGTTCTTATTTTAACCTTTGACATTATTATAATACTTAAAAACTTCTAAGCTACATCTTGGCAATTATGCTGATAATGATGCTCTTAGGCACTGATCCTCTGAAGTGAAGTTTTGATTTTGAATAAAGTGTTACAAAACCACGAGTGTTGGCAACTCTCGAGGGGACTAAAAACACTAGAGGGCCACACAACTAAACAATTACAAACCTTGTATGTTTTAAATTTTCCAGCAGTTTCTGGTGAACTTTTTGTAAATGGAAGAAATGAAAAAGATAAACTACGCTTTCTTGTTGGAAAAATGTGTGTAAATTTACATGCCCCAAGGTACAAGTTTGGGTTTGGACTCACAGTACGGTGTTAATGTGAAGTGCTTTGAGCAGAGATGTTGCCATTTGCTTTACTAGAACTTGGCCTCCTGAACGTTGTCCATCACGTCGTTCTTCTATCAGATTCTTCAGTTTTTGCGGGAGGTCATTCTCTACGATCAGCTGTTTTGGCCGTGGATGATGCTCGTAAACAGCCTGTTTCAGTCATCACCGAAACCAAAACACTCAACAACAAGAGAAACACTTATTAGATAATATGGCTATTCAATGATTGATGATTTACCTTGATGAGTTTTAGTAGGTTAAGTCGAGCAATTGCATCTTGGTGGTCTAGCCTTGAGATGAGTAACGGAGTCAATCCATTTACAGCCAATGTCGTATTGATCCGATATGATTTCCTAAATCCAACAAAGGACAAGTATTAGACTAAAGAAGGGGCACAACTTCACTTTACTTCAGAACATTTTGGAAAGATAGATAACTCTCTTAAAAAGAAGAGATACATACGTGATTATCTTCAAGAATGGCTCCAATATGTGCACAAAGTGTCTCTCTGGGCAGCTCTGGAAGAAGTTTACTAATTTCTCAATTGCATCTTTCTTGAGCAACGCCTGCTCAACCTTGCGGTTGTCATTGTCTTGCGCCAAGCAAACAGCAATTGAATCTAAGGCTATTACGGACCAATATTCATCATCGAGTAAACTCAGGTAAACATCCAGACCGCCATGGGCGCGTAACTGCTCTCTTGAATTCCGAGATGCATGTGCCATATCACATAGTAGGGGCAATGCATATTGTTTCAGGGGAGAATCAGACATGATGAAAAGCATCAGGTGTGGAATGATTCCGTTTTCAGCCGCTTGTTCCTGCCTCCTCTTGTTTATCTTGCACAGGTTGAATAGTGCACTAAGCACCTACATAAAATTAAAGTTTACTTCAATCTTTCGAATCAGACAAGAGGTCGTAACAGTTATCTCTATGAAAGTCAAGAAAGTAACCTCATGATGAATCTGATAAACAAGATGCCCATCCTTAAGCTCAAGGTTGGGGATTAAATGCTTAATTGCATCTGCACGCTGCAGATTCTCCAAGCAATTTGGATCAGTGGATAAATGATTGGTGCACTCCAGTATCTGGAAAATGAAAGACATTGTGAGAATGCGACCCAAAGATCTTCTTAATCAAGCATTCAAGCTCGGCCACAGAGGAAAAATATATGTTATAGGAAAGCACCTTCAGACTGAAAAGAGATAAAACTTCAAAGTATTTCAAGTACCTTTAACAGAATAGGAGGTTCGACACGGTTGAACATCTGGAAAAGACGACTGAGTAAGCTTTGACTGCACATGTATGACTTTACCGTCGTATCAGCCCGAGCAAATTCAAGAAGCAGGTCAGCCACTTTCTCTAAGTATTCCCTAGCGACATCTGCACTCAGTGTAGAGACCATATGGGCAAGTAAACCAGATGATGTGGCACTTCCAGGTCTAGCATTTAGAACACCCGAACCTGACAATACTCCAGATGCTGTCTGAGATGCAATACCAGACGTCGAAGCAACTCCATCAATAGCCAGAACCTTCTTTGTCATTGTTTTACCAGGATATCTAGGCGTAGTATCAAGATTTCCATTTTCTTTTCCACGTCCAGAGACCTCTGAAGAAAGGATGTAATGATATGGCTCAAACAAAAAAAATCATATATGTGCCTACAATAATAACAGTCCTGCTAAATACAAAATTTTGAAACTTACCTGCAAATTCAGCCATCAGAAAATCTAGGTCTCCGTTGGTTTTCTTTTCATTTGATCCATGCAGAAGAGGAAGTCTACTTTCATGTCTCTCTATGCCAGTGATGTGCTTAACATAGTCCAGTTGACCAGAATAATGTCTTGAAGGGGGTTCTTTCTCCAACAAGCTAAGCAAAGGTCGAACTTGTTCTGTCTGAGTAACAGGAAAACCATTAGAAACCCCGTCTGCCAGCTTCTGAAGCTTATCTGTCGATGTCCTATTGGCAGAGAGAGATAGTCTGTGCTGTTGTCTAACATCTTCTGTGCCAGACGTTGAAGCATCTGGTGCAACGCTGCTTAGTCTAGGCTTATCGCCATCTGGGTGCAAGGCATCTGGTTGATGGACATCTGATCTTTGAGAATTTGAAGTTGAAGCATGAGAAGGCTCTTCACCACCGCCATGCCTAATTTTCAATACATCAGGTTGATCAATCATACTGATTGAAGTCTCATGCTGAGTAAAAATAGGATTGTTAGGGTCAAGTTGACCAGAGCGCACTCGTGGAGCTTGACCATCCACAATAAGTGCTCCCCCTGAAATAGAAGCCAGCCGGGTTGCCTCATTCAAGCTATAAAGAGTGTTGATTAGCCTCAGAAGAATTCCATTCTTTGCAGCTATACGGCAGAAATCATTTCTTGGGGTGGATCTTTTGAGTTTGAATATTTGCCACATCCCATCAATAGCCAAGTGAACCATCTCCCTGAACAGGAAATCTCAAATCAGTAGAATATCGTAGCACATAGAGCGAAAAAGATCAGACTTTATTAAAGAGAGAATAGCTAAGTCAATAAACGGTCAGCTATTGTTAAAAGTATTCGCCGTTGTCAAAAGAATAAACACACACCACACACATTAACTTCTGCACTTAATATATTCAAAGTAGTCCAAGAAGATGTAAACAGTGCCTACCTGTATTTGGCATAATCTGCTTCAAGAAATCCCACCAAAACGGGTATTCCACGGCAAGCTATGAACATTTGCAACGTTAAGGAGCTGCAAAGAAGCTACCAAATCAACTTTACGACTTACAAAAAATGAAGAATCGAAATAGCAAATTTCTGATGACTATTAACCTTGACTGACAAAGCTGCTGCAAGAAGTAAGCTGCTTCCTTACGAATTTCTCGAGAACGATCCCTCTCAGGACCAGCAAAACTCATTACAACAGGAATCTGCCATTTCACTTGGAATAATCAATTTACGTGGGATTTTTGGCCACATTAAAGACAAGACAGATTTGACTATTTGAGAACAAAGAAATCAGTGGTGAGATAAAGACACCATGGATACACTATCTAGGATTTTCCAAAAATGTTGTTAACCTCCTAAATAGAAGCTTAAAATAGAAAATGGAGACACAAGCTTTTGATATTGGCCATATTCACCAAACTATACCAAGGAACTACTGGTGATTCAAACAAAATGGAAAGCGAGACTTACAAGACCAACAAGACAAGCATTTTCCTGGAAGTCAGTATTATCTTTAATAATTTCGTTTATCAGCTGCAGCACGGCACATATTACCTAAAAATACCATAAAATATCAACAAAACACAAGCCAGTCAGTATTTCTGATAAATACTGAAGATGAAGGTCCAAAAAAAAAAAGTCTTGATTACAAATTAACATACTCGAGATTTAGGAATATCGAGTAGATCCATTAGAGGCAGGAAGCCATGCTGAGTCACTATTACTGCTTTCTGCTCAGGTCTCTGACGAAACATGGTTACAAGTTTCTGACAAGAAGATACTATTGCATCTTCTGACTCGTCTGGCCTTAAGGAGCTAACCAATCTTGTGAACTCGACTGCCTACAAAAACTTAACCAATAAATACTAAGGTTTGGATTCGCTAAAAACAGAGTAGAGAAGCAACAATATTCTTTTCAACAATGGATTGCAAATTATCATTCTCAGAGCATGAAGTGAGTTGGTCAAGTAGCAATAGCAAAATACAAAATGCCGAGAGATTTCCAAAACATCAATATATAGTATTGCAGAATACCTGCAGAGGAAAAAGGTTCTCCGCAGGAACTTTTTCATCAAATACCTGAGAAACAAGATAAGGAAATATTTTAGCAGTATACTACTTGAAATATCAAACCTGCATACTTGAGACAGTTCATACCAAGCCATCAATGTCAATAACATCATCTTTCAAAACACCCATCATTAAGCGAAAAAGATCACCACCATCATTTGAATGCCCCGTTTCCCCCTCCATTTGTTTCTGAGCAATTGTAGCCCTTAATTTTGTTGCCAGATCATTTTTTCCACCATCTGCAACAGGAGAATCACCTTGGTTGATATTTGATGTAGGCATCGATGTTGAAGCTTCATTTGGTTTTCCCTCAGGAACTTTATCCAATGGATGAAACAAATCATGCAAAGAAGCATCCCCCGGAGGATCACTAAATCTAGACAGTTCGTTCCCACCAACACTAGATGGAGTTTTCACAGCCTTTAAGATAGACATGACAAGCAAAACAAATCTAGTCAGTTTACAATTTTTCAACTCAGTATAAGGCAGCTATCAACAACCTACCTCCTACAAGAAAAAAATTATTGTCTTGAAATAGAGCATTTAGTCTAAACACATCATTCAACAAAGAATAGAAAGTATTGCAAAAAGAACATCATCTTATAAATAACTATACCACGGCCCAACAACAAGCAAAACCTGTCTCACTATCGAAGTCTCTATGCATGTAGATGTTAAATTTGCCAAAAAAAAGTATATAACACAAGTACAACACCAGTAAACTGTTTGTTTATCAGTGAAAAACTTACCAACTCAACACCAATAGTACGATATACTGCCTTTTGATTACCATATTTTTTAAGAAAGTGCTTGGACAATAATGACATAACAGCAAAACTAACAACTAACCTTTCGAATCCCACGATCTTCACTTTTTAAGCCAGAACTATGCGATATCTGGTCCACTTGGACGGTACATTCTTTTCCAACCTGCTTTATTGCTGAACTGTTTTTTCTGGATTCAGAAGCTTCTGTTTCAAGATTTCCAGCTGTTTCATCATGTTCAGATTTCCCATGTCCATCTTGAGACGTCCCCTTAGCATCCGAAGAAATACTTAACGTACCAGACTGAAGAGAAGATTTTTCATGGACTGAAAGTGCAGGAACTTGATCTGACATAACATCATCGTCTGAATTATCTGTTCCATCTTCACCTAGATCACTATGTGTAGACTGATCTTTCTCAGACCTAAAACTCGCAACCCCTACCAAAGGTAATTTGCTTTTTGAGTCCTGGAAAAGAAAAGTACTGTATCAGTAGCTTTAGAAAGCGTATCTCTAGCTTTAAATGTGTTCTCCAGTTCATATCTCAACTCTTTATGTGCCATCTTCAAAAGATTGATTGATGGTAAATTAGAGCTCTGGAGTCTTACCGTTTTTGACATCCCCACTTTTTCTGCTGGAAGGCTTTCAGCTACATCTTGGCTACCTTCATCATCCTTCTCCGAACTTGCAGCGGGGTCCCTCATATATCTGCAAAGGATAAAGAACCCAAGGACATTAGAGGTTCAGTGGATGTAAGGAACACTATTGCGTCCTCTAAGATGGGATATATAATATTTTATTATATTCTTCCAAAAGTTAAAGTTAAGTACAAAGGTTCTCACTTGATGGTGCCACTATGCCGAAGTGATGACTGCAATGCGCGTCTAGAGTTTCGTATCCAAGGGTGAGAGAGCAGTGTCTTTGCATCAGGCCTCTGCCTGGAATCCTGTAATATGCAAGATACAAATCAGATGTACATACAGGATATTAACTAAATCAAAATTTTCTAGGTCAAAGAGGTAGGTGAATAAACACCATCGCAGAAATGTATACCTTCTTGAAGCACTGTCTTAGAAAGTCTGTAATATCTGGAGAAAGACTATCGGGGATAGGAGGGTTATCATCCTGAAACAGAACCAGAAAAAGGCAATAGTTTGTCACTTTTGGCAACCAATTTTTGCATTTTTTTCAGGAGAGACGTGCTTTACAACATGGAGAATAAGAAAAAGGGGAAGGAAGAGACATCTTAGGTTTATCAACTCTAAAAGCAAACTCGTAAAGTTGGCAAATACCTGAACAATACGAAAGAGGGCTGGCATGGGTTGCAGATCATAGTAAGGAGGTACACATGTCAGAAGTTCGATAACAGTGCATCCAACGCTCCAAATGTCAGAAGCAGCACAAACTCCTGACATTTCAATAACCTGTAACAGAAGTTGGACTTTCGTAACTGCGGACATAATCAGGTAAGAGTTCTCTAAATCAAAAACAACAACAAAGCTATTTTCAGAAATTACAAATGGCAGTTAACCTATACAGAATATGGTGACGGGGGAAAATATATTATCAAAGGTGTACCTCAGGAGCCATCCAGTAAGGAGTTCCAACCACTGAGTGAGTGTTGACATCAGCCTCGTTAAGTTTAGTGGCAACTCCAAAGTCAGCAAGCTTAACAAGACCCTGTAGTATGATGTAGTTAAGTATCTATCTAAGGGCAAAAAAAGGCTTAGAAGAATTTTATGCATCCTAGAGATCTTGAAACAACAACACACTGAGTACAAGCGTGAGGATAGATAATACAGAAAAACCCACCTCCTTTGTCGTTAAAATATTTGCACCTTTGATATCACGGTGTATGACACCCTGCTCGTGTAGATATACCAAACCTTCCAAGACCTGTAATCATTAGTTAGTAAAAAATGCATTAAAAACCTTAACCCATTTAGAAAGATTAATACAGACCTGAGCAATGTAAACAGCCACCAACGATTCCGGGAAAGGTCCGAATTTATTTGGTTTAATAATGTTTGCAAGTGAGCCATTCTCAACGTACCTGCAAACACATATGATTGAACTTGAGGTTGCAGTCCAGAGTAGACCAAAATAAAAGCAAAAGCTACTTAGTACTCACTCCAAAATAATGTGAAGGTGAGTCTTTGTCTTCGAAGACCCAAGATACTTCACAATGTTTTTATGGTTCAAGTTCTGCAATGAAAAATCATCTTAGAGGACATAAGGGAAGGAGTGCATCTTAACATCATAACCATTAAATAGAAAAAACCAAAGTTCAGAAGGTATTTGACCTAAGTTGACATCAGGATTCCAACTTTGAAAACAGATAAATGTGCACAATTCAGAAAACAGGGATCAAGCTCTAAGTGGGATAAGCCAAAATACATATGCATTTCAAGCTCTACATGGGATTCTAATTGCTAAGCTAAAGAATGTATAACAGAACAATGATTGTGGGATATGGAAGAAAGAAGATACCTTCAACAGATCAATTTCTTGCTGGAGAGAAAAGCATCCCATAACATCCAAATGTAAGAAACCAGGATTGAGTAAGCACATAGCAGTGGTAAAGAGATAGAGAGACCATATAATGATGGTCCATAATAGCAGAACAAATAACGAAGATAAGTGAAAAAACAACAAACCATAATGGTGTTAAGATCCTCTTGAACAATGTTTTCCAAAGAGACTTGTTTAATGGCCACAAAGTCTCCATTCTCCAAGTCTAATCCTTTATAAACCCGACCATAAGCTCCTTTACCAATTTCATCTCCCAGCATCTGAGCTCATATATCAACAATCAACCTTGAAGTTAATCAAAAACTGTACAGAAAACTGCACGAAGCAATAGACTTGCAAAGATTTAGCTTTCAAATTGCTAAAATCCAAAGGAGTCCCATATATAAAAAAACCCAAAAGCCCAGGAATTGCGGAAGAAGAAGAAGAAGAAGAAAGCTCACGTATTTGTTGTCGAGAGTCTTAGATTTGTGGAACTGAGATGACGTCATTTGCCGCGCCATCTCTACTTCTCGTTTTCTTCTTCCTCCGTCGCGTCAAGCAAATAAAAAATGCAGCGAACAGAACAACAAATTGAGCTCCTCAAGGAAACAGATCCATTTACGAGGGAAAAGAAAATAAAGAATTAGGGTTTTAATTTCGTGAAGAACAAAATTTGAAGGATTCGAAGACGATGATGGAGTTGAAAGATCAGACAGAGATGACAGCTCTATTACAGTAGTGAACAAAAAGTTTAATGAAAAAAAAGGAAACAACATTACAAAACATTTAAGTTTTGGGGTTATAAAATTGACTAACCGTAATTATATCCCAGGGTTTACTTATGTTAATTTCCATCTCATGCGCCTGTATTCTTCTTCTTTATTATTGAGACCATAACTTTTTATTGTTTACGTTTTCACCCTTATATTCCCCGATTTGAAAACATATCTGGCATTTTGTCTAATTACCGTTAATTATAAAAAGTGGTCCAAATATTTAATGCTTATTTTACTGAATTCAATTTTAATTAATTGTGTTAAATCAAGGTGGTTAGTATTCATTAATGATGTATTTATCAACACTCCTATAACATTTTTTTTATAATCTTCTCAATTTTATAAGCTTAGGATAACCAATCAAATCATTGTTTTCATAATATAAGTTATCTAGAACCCACTAGCTTGCGCACTGTAATAGACCAGAGTCACCAGACCATTTCCCCATTGGTCATTTAGTATAAAGACCAGACCATTGGTCATTTGGTCTGAGCTAGTGCAAAACTATTCGAAATGAAAAAAAAGAAAAAAAGAACCATGCAGGTGGAATAAAAACCAAAATGAAGAATACAACAAAGCGCATAATTACCAAACGCCGAAGCTAGCGCGTGAGGAAGAAGGTCGGTAGGTTCATTGGTAACATCAGCAGAGAAGACAAATGGAGAGAGAGAGAGAGATAGAAACACTTTGAGGAGAAGAAAAGAAAAAACCAACCAATCGAAGAACTCAAAGAGATCACGAAACCCTAGCTAGTAGTAGTAGTGGAGCAGAAGAGAGATCGGTTGAACACACGGCAGAGATGATGAGGTCATCATCACGTGGAGGGAAGAAACCAGTACTGTCCAAGAAAACGACGCCGTGTTGCACGAAGACGGGGATGAAGAGAGGACCATGGACGGTGGAGGAGGATGAGATCCTTGTGAGCTTCATAAACAAAGAAGGTGAAGGACGCTGGCGATCGCTTCCCAAGAGAGCTGGTTTGCTTCGGTGTGGCAAGAGCTGCCGTCTACGCTGGATGAACTATCTCCGGCCGTCTGTCAAACACGGCGGTATTACCTCCGATGAGGAAGATCTCATCCTCCGTCTTCACCGCCTTCTTGGCAACCGGTACATATGTATTTATTCATTCATACAAGATTTCCTAGTTTATAATACGTATATGTGTTTCTATAATTTTATGTCTCTACGCAACTATATATATTTTTTTGTTTGTTTAAGCTAGGGCTTTGCTTCTTATACAGTTTTTTTTTTTTTTTGCTTCTTATACATAATTAAACATGAAGGTTCGGATTCACACATATATGATCCCACTTTTTTTTTTTTTTTTATATATATATATATATATATATATATATATACATATATATATAACAATTATGTATGTTTTGATTCTTGGTTGGATTTTTACAACAAAATGTTAATCTCGATCTAGTTATTTAGACTCTAACTTTTACTTAAAGCGAAGAGCATTTCTATTATTTTCCTGGTTCTAGAGCTAATAGTGCATCGACTCATCATTCTTTATGATTGGAAAGTAACAAAAAGAAAATGCAAGCTTGTTTATACCCGTAGGAATTAATCGTTATTGTGTTTCAAGTCACATGTATGCTCTTAATGTGTGATGCAGGTGGTCATTGATCGCGGGAAGGATACCAGGAAGGACTGATAATGAAATCAAGAACTATTGGAACACTCATCTTCGTAAGAAACTTTTAAGGCAGGGCATTGATCCTCAAACCCACAAGCCTCTTGATGTAAACCATATCCATTATAAACCTGAAGAAGAAGTTTCCGGTGGACAAAACCCTCTAGATCCTAATTCTAGTTCCCATACGGATACCACCGTCGATAGCGGTGATGGAGCTACCAAGAAGAGTATTAGTGTCTTTGGTGGTGAAGGAAACTACGATGACTTTGGTTTCTGCTACGACGACAAGTTCTCATCGTTTCTTAATTCGCTTATCAACGATGATGATGATCCTTTTGGTAACATTATCCCAATATTATCTCAACCGTTGCAGATGGATGATTGTAAAGATGACATAGTTGGAGCGTCGTCGAGCTTAGGACATAACCAGAGAAAAGAAGATTTATAGTTGATCGAATCTTGATGTCTTCTGATCTATATATGTCTACCATGCTTCAAGAAGGGGTTTACGTACTTATGCGATCTAAAAGGTTGGTAGATATGTGTTGTGTGCTACGTTGCTTTGGGGTGCTTTTGTGTTATTATAAAACCGCATTTGTGATTGTATCTGATTACACAAACCTCTCTCTCTATATATATGGATATATATCTGTCGTCTGTCCGAATTAAGATCTATCATCATGCATAGTGGCGAATAAATAAGTTAGATATAATGCTTTCTAATTAAGTTTTACGATTAACCAAAAAAGTTATAAACATCCCTTTATGTTTAGTCTATATTCCATCATCACCACCATCTGCATATCTATACATACAATGTTATGAAAGTTAAATAAGATTCGTGTTAAAGCTTTTTATTAAGTACAAATCTTTTTTAAAAAATTACATGAAAATAAAGTTTTTTCAAATACATGACACGAATGTTCAACAATATTCTTGAGCTGTGGTGCTATTAGTCTATTAGTTTTTTTTTTTGTCTAATTAGTCTTTTAGTTTAAATGCCTAGAAAATTAAATGATAGACCAAAGCTTAATACCAGGGGCCGTAAGATAAATTGACGTACGTTAACATAAGTTAACCCTAAACGAACTTTGCATGCGAGTATGCTGCTCCGACCTAACCTTCTCTTTGACCCTTCGGTTCACATCACAACAGCAAAATTAATTAAACGAACTGAAACTCTTTGTCGCAACCAAATTTATACGGAACAAAAAAAAAAAAAAAATAGAATGTAGTAAAGAATTTTTTTGTATTACATATAGATATATGTTTTCATTTGAAGATTGTAGACTATATACAATATACATCGACGCCTATATAATACCAAAGCAAGAACAACAAACTTTATAGTTGTGACTAAAAAAACTTCAAGAGATATATGACCCCAAAGAAAAAGAACATCAACAAAAAATATATAAAGAAATCGAGTATATACATAATACATGTGATGCCTAAAATTACATATTCATCAGCATATATACACACATCTAATGCACGAAAAAATTAATAATACAACATACCGATATGAAGAATTTAGTCGCAGAGACTCAACAAATGCTACTGCTCTCTGTTTTAACATTATTGTTTCAATATTCATATTCTATATATAGTATACCATGCATAGAAAGATTTGTGCTGGTCTACTAATCGTTTGTAATAATTATGTAAAACATAATTAGGTTGACAGAATTGACCGGTAGATTTGGTCTCTCAAGTCTCAAGTTGTGTTTTCAATAGAAGGTGTGATCTTACTTTTTGGAGATAATCAAATCATAAAGATTATAGAACAGGTTAGGTACCAACTAATACTCTTTGGTTTTAAATATCTCATCTGTAAACGCTCTCTCTCTCTTTCTCTTCCAGAGAAGTTATCTCCCTATTGTTATTGTTTTGAACTTATTTTTCTTATAAAAGAAACAATTTCTCAGTTATGTGGTCTTTTTGGTTCTCGAGTCCTTGATGAAAAAAAGTTGACACTAAATTTTACAAGCTTTTTCAATAAATTAGAGTTGTTGAGGAATGGTCCTACCTCAAATTGTTACCTATTCTCTGAGCAAACAATTTTTTTGGGTCATCTAACATTGTGGTTCAACTTTAATGGGTGTACATTGTTGACCATTGATTACCAAAGAACTAGGCGTTATTATAATACATCTGTTGTGTTTCCTCGTATTGAAAGATCCAAATCTTGTTCACTTGGCAAATCGCAATGTCCATTCTTTGGCTACCTCGTCATGCTTTTCTCTATCTGTCAAGTAGAGCCGTGCAATCATTGGCAAAGCTGGACTATCTGGTAGAGAAAGAATAAGAACACATGTTAAGAGAGGAAACATAGAGACTTAGTATGAAAGTTAAAGGTGGACGTTGGATGCGGAAATCTCTTATGTTCGTCATGAACAGATTAAATTAGGAAAAGGCTTTCTTAGGTAAATCTGACCTGAGCAGGTCAATTCCATCAAAGGAAGCCTGAGAGTAGAGTAGAAACTTACAGGGTTCAGGTTTTAAGAAGATAGATCTGATGGCTTGTAAGACTTTTGTAATTGTAAGGGCAGGACTCCAACTGTCTCTTAGAATCTCCACACTTAAATTCCCCGCAGCATCAACATTGCAGTGGTAGATCCGAGTCTTGAACACCAACTGCGAATCAACACCATATTAACTTAAAACGCTAAATAAAAAGGGGGAGTGAAATTACACTGATGCAATGAACGTGCCCGCTCATAGCTTGATTCTCTCAAAATCCCAAAATTTAAAGAATTTGCAACTAGATGTACCCTAACACTCTAATACAAGAAGGTTAACTATAAAACATGCCAGACAATGAAACTCTAGATGATCTCTGTCTCAAAGTGTGACACAGTCGAAGCCTCAATCAATGAAAAACAGAGATGCTAAAGCTGAAGATTCAGTAAGTAGTAGTTCTTTCTATAGAGATATTAAGCTAGCAACTTCATCATGCGTAATCAAAACCTCCAAACCCAAAATCACTTACCATTTAAATCAGTAAAACTCCCCAAAAACATACAAAAAAAAAATTGATGAAGAAAGAAGACAACTAGAGAAGTAACGATCATACCTTAGGTGGTTTGAATGGATAATCAGATGGGAAAATTATATCAAGAAAAAAGATCCCTCCTTCATACGGAGTTCCTGCAAAAAAAGTGTTCCCCAAATCAAAGACTTTAATAAACCTAACAATTGCAACCGGATCTTATAGAATCGGAACTAACCCGAGGGACCAATGATGGTGGCGATCCAATGGTAGAGATTATCACCCTTTGGTCCAGCGGAGCAATCAGGAGGCGGATCAACGTTAAGCTCCGCCATTTCCCTCTGTATCCTCTTCCCAGACGCCGAAACAGAAGTCTTAGCTACCCAAGACGAAGCCGTTCCTGAATATCCGGCGTACATCGCCGTCGGTAACGGCCTTAACCTCCCGCTTCCACCAGGTGTCATCATCTCCCCTCCTCGTCGTCTTCTCCGATTCTCTGCTTATCCAAATCACCACTTCACCGTTCCGCTCGCACTCCATTGGGGACCTCTTCGAAACGCTGCGTTTTTGTTTGATCAATCTCATTAAACTAAGCACTCGCTGACGTGGAAAATTAATTATATTAGTAACAATTTTGCAATCTACTTCAATAATTTTGTAATCATTTTGTTAAATTTGTTTAACGAATATTATTGTGTATGGGATCATGTTATAACCCACGTGAATCCTTAATAATTTCGATAAATGATTATTTCAAGACAAGTGAATGGAAATAAAATTATCAAATATCAAAATCTCATTATTTTTTTTATTGAATTTTAGTAATAAGGCACACAAGCTCTCAACGATATATCACAGTAAAATACAAGACAATGATTCATTTCATGTGAATATGAAATTTAAATCACTCTAATTCGAAGGTATTTTTAGTTCAAAGATGAAGAAGACAAAGAATGGGAACTTGTGAGCTCTCTATAGTCTCTAGTTACTACACTTACACTAAAACCAAAAGTAAAACAACAAATTACAGGTACTCGGAGAAACACGAAGCCGCTTCTAGACTTCTCCGGGTTACTACAAAACCGTGTCTTGGGATACGTTCTACAAAAGGGGGCTGTGCTGTATTACAACAGTTGTAGTAGCGTGAGAGCTAATGCTGCCAATAAGGGAAGATGGTAGGAGCTAGAGGTGATAAGTGTGTTGGCGTTTCCTCCCAATGGACTGACGGGTCCTAACGCAGTCGGAGGAAAGTTTCCTCCAGTTGCATTTGCGGTTAAGCTGAGATAAGATGAATAAAAAAGATTTCAAAGAATCAATAAAAAGATTTTCAGTTTTCAACAGATTATTATGACAAGAAGACTTATAGTTTTCAGAATGTTACCTTCCTGTGTACGCACATGTTTTATAGCCTGCAAAATGCACAAGCCATCAAATATGAGATTTATGCTATGGAAACAACGCGTAAACATATATAATGATAGTGATAAGTTGGTGGAAGAAATGAGAAACTTACTGGGATCTCTAGTCGTGGTAATGGCCGTACCACTGAAGTCGCAAGTTCCACCAGCACTTTTCATCTTCTGGTAATAGTCGTTGTAAGCAAAAGAAGCATGGCTCTTAATATTGTCCGGCAGATAACAAGGATGGCCCGGTTGAATCGCAGCGCAGTTAGCTTGGCCTTGACCACACGCCCAATTCAAACCGTCAACCAACTTATCATCTTCAGCATCAGCTTTAGCCACACAGAACAACGATGAACCGTTTGGAGATGCGGAGTTAGCGCCACCACTCAAGCTCAGAGGATAAACCGAAGTCCCATTCGGAAATAATATCCCCCAGTTTTTTTCAGAGACTGGTCCGGCTCGTTTGTCTTCACTGTACAGCTCGTAGATGTAAGTGTTTATCGGTATGCCTGGTTGGCTAGGAGGACCTGAGTTGTTCAACACTCTCTTGACCAAGTTAGTGTTGAATGTCTCTGCGTTGGCGAGTGTTGCAGCCGCTTCACCGCTTCCACCAGCAGAAGGCCAGCCTGTTTCAGTTACAACAACAGGAATCTTGGAGAAATTCATAGCTCCCATTGAGTAGTAAGCAGCATCAACCATGGCATCAAACATGCTGTTATAATGTAAAAGCGTGTTGGGATCAACAATCTGCTTCACCGGAGAAAGCTGCTTGAACAATGCGTAATCGAGCGGGAAAATCCCGTTCGCAGTTGTGTAACCGTAGTAAGGATACGCGTTTAACATGAAAAAAGAATCAGTGTTCTCCAAAAACTGGAGAAGCTGGTAAACCGTGGTGTTCCACGACGGGCTAAAGGTTGATGTGGACGGAGGAAACGGTTTAGGCATTATACCCATAGACATAGGGCTGGAAACTTTGACCTTGAAGTTGAGATTGGAAGCCACAAGAGCCTTGTGAATGTTGTGGAGAGCCGAGGCAAGAATCGGAGCAACATGAGGATTCGTGGTGAGAACTTCGCTACCAACGGCAATGGCGGTTATATTGGTTGAAGGAATATAAGCAGCGACGTTCTTGTTAACCCATGCAGCTGCTGCTGAAGGAAACCTTCCAATTTTAAGGATTTCTTCATTGGTTACACCGACCATAACTTCAATGCTACTGTTGGCAAATGCTTTAAGCATGTGGCTATTGGCATCATAGAGACGGACGTGTGTGATTTGTTGCGAATTCAGAAGCTCTACGACCTCTGAAGGCGATGGCATGTTGGTGAGATCAGTTCCGATGTTCACGCCAATGAATGCAGCTGTAGAAAGAAACATATTCAGTCTCTGAACTCCACCAGATAAAAAAATGTGAACTTATTAGATTTTTTAAAAATGTGATATGGTGAAATTACCGTCTGAAGACGCAAGAATTGTAATCAGGAGCAAGAACGCTTCTGCAAACCATCTCGGAAGTTGCATTGAAACAGAGAGCTTGAAACCTCAAACCTACAGAAAAGTTCAAAATTGAGTAATATCCTAATGATTGTAACAGAAATTAGAAACCTAGCATGACATAGATTGTAGATTTGTCACTCTTCTTAATTCAGAAAGCACTGTTTTTTTTTTTTCAGGAGAGTTATAATTGGTCGAATATGGTAAGAACCCTAAACTCAAAGTAAGCAACTTTAGAAACTCAACTCATGAATATATAAAATAAAACAGAGGATCTCCGACAGAAGTAAACTAACGGGGTCTAGAAACTAGCGAAGAGGGAAACGGGATAAACAAACAGTAAACAAAAACCCATCGAGCATTCGAAAAGCCACATTTTTTATAAATCTTGGAACTCTTTTTTTTTTTTGTCGTTTCATTCTTTCAGCCATGTGCTCTGGAAAGAGGATTGGCAGAGAGAAGAAGAAGAATGTGGAAGATACAATCAAAAGCTAGTTCGGACACAAGAAGCTAAGACAACAATGCGAGATACACAGATGCAAAAATCAAGAAATGATTACAAAAGTACCTAATTCGAGCTTGCTCGGTTCCAGATTCACTCGGCGAGAATTCAAGATCACAAAGAAAAAAAGATTTGAGAGGGCAGTGAAAGAGAGATAAAAAAACAAAAAAAAACCCTCGAGGTTTTGCTGCTGGGTGCTGAGACTGAGACAGAAGAGGTTCAGAGATGTTTCTAGTTGTAGTGAACCCACCGAAGAGAAACCCAAAAAGTAAATACTTTTTTTTTTCTTTCGGCGAAAATTGAAGAGAAATGGGAAAATATAAAAAAGAAAAGAAAAAGGATATACTCCTTAAGAAGAGAGATTTGATGTGAGTGAGTTAGTAAACTTTGGTTTCATCTCTCTTTATATAATGCGTGGGAAACCAGAGAGGTGTGTGTGTGGAAGTGGAAATGGAAGGTTAGACTTCAAAGTTCAAAGTCTTCTAAATAAATTAGTACCATTAATTACCTTCGATGTGTCATTGCCCTCTATCTAAACCAATTATTAATTTATATCTCAAATTGTGTAAATAGGCATACTATAAGATGGTCACAAAAACATCAAAATACATGCATAATCTGTTTAAGATAATTAAATAAAACTCCTCTAAAACATTATAATTTTTTTTAAGGAGAGTACAAGTATGTAAGAATAAAGATTCTTTACACCTAGTATACCGAAATATTCCACTTTCTTAATACAAAATACAAATAAAAATAATGATATTAAATTTTTACGTGAAAACAAGATTTGTAAGAGGCTCGATTTCCACGGTCATCTAGTTTTTTTTTTTTTTGGGGTCTCCCCATTTTAATTAAATTTATATGATCTTGAATGGAAAGAAAGAAAGAAAGATCCGTGAGTTTTGCTAATTTCATGTGCATGACTTCCAAATGTTATATATCTCTTGTTAAGGAACTTCGAAATGTTTCTTGGATGCTCTAGTTTTTCCTTGATTCGGCAGTTTCTCTCGTCAACAGTTTTAAGAAAATTATATACTGTTTTTTGTTTTAAAACAAAAAAAAAAAAAAAAATTATATATTGTCACACTACTCTGAACACTACTCTGAATTGACATTTTCTTTTTGAATTGTCTAATTTAGTTTTCTTGTACATTGGTTTTCAAATTTTCTTCGAAGAAAAAGAAGAAAGAAATGATCAATCGGGCATTATCGTCGTGCATTTAACTCCAAGCAACGTGCTCTACGGGAAGACTGAATGAATATTCAATGAAAAAACCACAAACCTGCGACGACCAAGACTTTTGTCGGATCAAAGAGACTCGGGACAAGTCAAACGGGAAGCCAATTTTTTCTGTGGCTAATAAGAACACAATCTTTAATAACACTCACAAAAACTATATGGACCACTTGTAATTAAAAAACTTAGTAGAAGATATCATAGGGAACTTAAAGTTATATGATTTGGAGGAAAAGTATTATGAATGACTTGTCCAAGAGTTTAAATTTTGGAAGAATAAAAAGTTTCCAACGTTAACCAAAACTTTAAATATAATTTCAGATAAAAAGAAAAATCATAAGAAACCGTTGTCAATCTTGGCATTTTGTTTGTCTTCTCCTTTGTTGCTTTTCTTTATGGAGGAAAAAATAAAATAGCTGTAAAGTGCGAAAGGTCGATTCAAAAACCAATGGAGCCTTACGTCAAAAAAGCTCTCTCAATAGGACCATCTTCTTTCACAATGTTAGATGAGATCTATAAAGATAAGATGACAAAAGAAAACACATGCTACTTCAAATTCCTGTCTCAAGATCATCCATGGATCAAACATAAAGCAAAATACAAATAGTACTACAAATATCTCGTCTTTTAAAACTTGTCTAAACAAAGATTTTGAGTAGGGAAGTTCAATCTAGAGGCAAAACAAAATATCTGATAAAGCACACAACTTAAATCTGCATAACTCAAGAGTAGAGAGATACAACATGCTGTGCAGTCACTGGCTAGGAGAACGGTCTCCATTTCTTGCCGCACGAGGGACTGGGGTCGGGCTCCTGCTCTGCTGCCTAGGGACCGGGCTTTGGCTCCTGGCTTGTTCAGGTGTGTAGCTCCTGTTTCTTCTCGGGCTCAGGCTTCTTCTAGGGCTTCTGCTGTGGCTCTTCACTCTCCCAGGACTTCCACTGCGAACCCTTGAGCCATTATGGGGCGGTGAGCGAGAGTATGACCTCTCCTTCTCGTATCGTCTATCCTGAGGTGAGACAGACCTGCCAAAACACAGTTGGAGAGTAGAGTGGTTTAATCAATCAGAGTAACTGTAATGACATCTGACAGTATGAAATTCAGACAGGCATGCAGAACCTAGTTACCTAGATTGATGTCTTTTAGGGGGAGGAGAATTATAGCCACGGCTACGTGATCGTGATCTACGACCACGACGAGGTGGAGGAGAACGAGAGTACCGAGGAGGAGAACGCCTTCTGTCTTGAAACCTGTTGCTCCTACAAACATGAAAAAGATACAAGATTAAGATCAAGTAATCTCCTGGGGTTCTATAAACAAACTGATCCTAATACGGTGTCCATTGTTCAAAAGAGGAAGAATCTCACCTTCCACCTCGATCCCTTGTTCTCATTTCAGTTGGCTTCTTCCGGTTCTCTTCTGCAAATACGACAGTCAACTCACGACCAAGAAGAAGGAAACCATCCATGTGATGTTTTGCCTCAGCAGCATCAGCAGGTTCCACATACTGAATGAACCCAAACCCCCTTGGATCTCTGCAAAAAAATCCAAAGAAACCGAAAAAATTCTCAGCCTAGAGGAACCAAAAACACAATGACCAAGGAAGATGTACAGCTTTGACGAGAAGCGTTTTGAAAAAGTTGGCATTACTATCTCCTGCAATAGAAGCCATCATGATAAACATGAAAAAAGCAAGCACTTGCCTGCAAACCTTGCAAGTTTCAGTATAAAGATGACTTCTCCAAGACTTGATACATCTTCAAATTGAATTCAAACCCAACTTCCTTCCAACCTTCACTACCATTTAGAACATCTTCCAAAGAACTCTAATTACTTCATTGGTCTCTTCAATTCTCTAGATTCACTGTTAAACCTCAACAACTTTAATAAACACACTCGAAGTGTGATCGAACATGGAACATATCACTGTATTCTTTTCCTAAAGTGACTAGACGAGGATTAAGTGTTTTAGGTGTACTATACCTACTCACGCTAGAAATCCAAGAGTAAATTAAAAAGAAAAAAAGGTTTTCAGGCTCCAAATGTGATGTTTATATCAAGAAACTTAGAAATTTTCTATAAATCCAACTAATTCATGAGCAGCAGATGAGATGTAGGATTCACAAAAAGCAGTTTACGAAGCAATGAAAACTATAAGAAAGAGACACGAGCTAAATAGAAACAATGTAAAATAATGCCCTGGGTGTTCAAACATTCAATATTATCTACTGAGCATGCTCACCCAGTATAGTAATCCCTTGGCAGGTAGATGTCCTTGACAGGACCAAACTCCTCAAATGGCCTCCTTAGGTCTTCTTGCCTGGAGAAAAGAGAGTCAAGAGGTAAAGGAGTCAACCCTATTGCATAAATCTGTGACATTCTTCTAATATGGAAACAGATCTTCATGCATGAGCTATATATCTAGAAATGTAGGCTTTCCTTAACATGCTTCTAAATACATTTTTCGCACACACAAAAAAAAAAAAAAGTACCCACCGGACCTATATCTATATACATAAGCTTTCTAAAAGCCTTTCAGACAAACAAGCAATTACAAAGCCACATGTCCAATTGAAAAGATACTGAACAACTAGAGAGAAAAGGATGTGTAGGGAATTAAAGATAAAGTAGTAATGAATATATATATATACAAACCTGCAATCATGACGTAGGTTGCGAACCAAAAGACTGGTGGGGAGATCCCTGTCACGACTCCCACCATATCTACCCCGAGGGCTAGGACTACGGCCCCTCCTTCCATAACCCCTTGGTGGTGACGGTGTGTAGCTTCTTCCCCTCATTGTGTCTAGACTTCCAAGTTCTATATCAATCCAGAAACTTAGTTAGAAAAATCCTCAGATAAGCTAGGATGCTTAAGATATAAGAGAACGAACAATCAGCTATACACACACACCAGCATCAAGAAAACTTCAAAAGAGCAAAAATTGAATCCTCAAACCAGCAGAAAATATGTCAAGTACTAACTTTAAAGCTCCATATATGAAACTCAGCAACGAAACTTATACAATTGAATTCAAATATGAGATCAATTCAAAAGGCAAGGGAACCCACAAAAACAATCAATACTTATAATCTTATCAGAAACATAACTCTCCGATCTATTATTACGTTTCCTTCATAAACTAATCCACCGGTAATGTAAGAAGAAGAAGAAGAAGAAGAAGAAGAAGGAGGAGGAGGAAGGGGAAAAAGAAGAAGAGATTAAAGACCGAGAAGCTTACCTCAGCTAGGGACGGTGTGTTAAAAAGAAGGGCGGAGAAGAACAGAGGGGAAACGAGAGACGGTGAGTAATAGAGAGACAAGAGTGAAACCTAGTTTTCTTTTGTCTTGGATCTTATGGTGTAGAACCAGCCTCCGGGTCAATTAGGGTTTTTCTGCAATTTCCTTTTTATTTTTTCTTTTCTTTTTCTTTTTTCCTTTTTAATGTTTTGCCTCCAAATCCTTTCGTTTTTTCTTTTTCGTTAACTTTTTGCCTCCAAATCCTTGCAAAAGTTAGTTATCCGCTTATACTTTCTCTTTATTACATTTTGACCCCCTAATTTTTTTCTCAATTTCTATGGATTAGAGATTTTGTTTCTTGAATCTAATTTTTGTCGGACTAACTTTTGTATACAGTAACGACATAAATTTAAAATGTGTATTATCTCAAGTGATTGTTTATGTTTATTTATCTTATTATTATGTTTACTGTTTTTTTTTTACGTACAACTTAATCTAGGTTTGAGTCTTATGCTAATCTTGGAATTAGGGCTCCAAAATGTCGTAGACCAATTTTGTGGGTTTTAATTGGGCCAAAATAAAATGAAAGAGCCCTAGAAAAGAAAGCCCATTATCAGTTTCATGTTCTTCTGCTTGACATCTCCCTTGTTTCTGAGTCCCATTAGACTTTAGTAAGAACGAAGAACTGCTGATATAGAATCAGGGTACATAATATCCAAACACACTTGCTAGATGTCTTTTTGTAGATACGAAAACCAAACAGAGCCAGTCTTTGTCTTAGAAGATCTCTTACATATAGAGTCATCATGTTTCTAGTGCCTAACAGATTCATGCACGCAGCATGGTTTATTGGAAACTGAATCGTTAGAGAGATTATTGTGTCAAAGGAGTAGTGTTTATAATC